CCATTTCTGCCTTAGTAAGGTACTCCCATCTCTGCCTTAGTAAGGTACTCCCATTTCTGCCTTAGCCAGGTACTCCTATTTCTGCCTTAGCAAGGTACTCATCTCTGCCTTAGCAAGTTACTCCCATCTCTGCCTTATCAAAGTACTCCCATTTTTGCCTTAGCAAGATACTCCCATCTCTGCCTTAGCAAAGTACTCCTATTTCTGCCTTAGCAAAGTACTCCTATTTCTGCCTTAGCAAGGTACTCCCATTTCTGCCTAGGCAAGGTTTAGTGGTAATAAAAGTCAGCTGGTGCATGTTATTTGTCTGAAACAGAATATAAGATACTGAGTGAACAAATGAATGTGAGTAAACAGTTGTACAGACACTTGTCGACTGTACCAGCCTACATCACTATGAAACATTGGTCTACTGCTGGCTTGCCATGGTGGAAGCTGTTTCTCGGATGTTACTATAAATAGGCACCCATTCATAACAAGTTGTTAGTGTTGTGTTGAACCACAAGTAAAATACATCTTGAGCTATTAACTGGCGTTTAGTCAGTCTTTAGGTTTGTTTGTGTGGTTTTTGTTTGTGAACATTATGTTAAATGCTAAGATATAAGCTTATATGGATTTCATTTGTATTGGATAGTTACACAAATTGGGTAAGAATAATTGAATGAACAAGTGAAGAAATGAATGAATGAATGAATGAATGAATGAATGAATGAATGAATGAATGAATGAATGAATGAATGAATGAATGAATGAATGAATGAATGAATGAGTTCTATTTGTGTTAACTGACACTTGACAATGGCTGTTTTTTTGTTGTGTTACCTTTGTGAACATTATGTCAATTGCTAGAATGTAAATGAATTTGTGTATATACCTAGATAAAATGGAAATCAATGAATGAATGACAATGAATGAATGAATGAATGAATGAATGAATGAATGAATGAATGAATGAATGAATGAATGAATACTGTGTACTAGTGGAGGTTAATAAACTCAATCTGAGCTAGATAATTCTACATAATGTTATTCTGTCTTGGCTGTATACTGTAAATATCTACCTACTGGGTTAGTTTGTTAGTAAATAGACCTGATGTCTTTATTTATATATATATATACCGGTATCTCTAGTTTATACTGTATAATATTGTCAGTGTTGATTCTTAGCTCCTGTTCAGCAAGTATGCATTTCTGAAACATGGGTTGGAAGCAATTGAATTGTGGAAATAGAAGCTATACGTGTTCCCTATATTGGCAAGTTAACTCTATTTCCAAATTTGCTGTCCTGATGAGGATTTTATATCTGAAACGTGTGTTGACTGCAATGGAATTATATAAATGTCACTGATATACAACTATGAATCTTTTTGATAGCTGTTGGACTCATTCCTCATTGATTTGTAGGCTTGTGAACTGTCGATTTCGGACATATATATTTGTCCCTCTGATATTAGCTGTGCTACTATGTTTGTGTAAGTTGTGTTGGCCGGCATGCTATAATTATATTCTAATTGTAATAGAAATGCGCACTATTTTTAATTAATTCATATATTCATGGTCATTATCATCTATTATAAAAACTATTAACCTAGATATATGTTCATATGTAGTTTATAAATCAAACCTTGTGATAAACTGCAGAAAAACAAGAGTTAAAGGGGTAGTCTGTTTTTTCTTAAATAGGTGTAGAAAGTTAGATAATCGAATTAATGAAAACTATAGTCCAAAGTCCAGAGAAATGTGTCCCTTGCCTTATCTGAAAATTTAACTTAAATAGGCAGTCGGATTTTTTTTTCAGTAGGTAGGAAAGTTAGGTGCTCTAATTAATGAAAACTAATTAGTAAATTAATGGCCGTCGAAAAAATCATTGTTACTAGAACTAAGCTCAGTTAAGCAGCCATATTTTAGACTCTATTTGAGTTAGTTAATCAAAATAGAAAAAATAACCAATTTAATCTCCACGTAAAGAGAAAACAGGTTGATCAAGTTTCTAATAAAATCGTGAAAGATGAAGCCTCATTTTTATGTGAGAAATATACTTAAATTAACCAGTTTGCGTAGAAGATCTTAGAAGGAAATAAATGGCATGAAAATTTAATGAAGACGGCTGCAAAAACAGTATGGAGTTAATATTTCAACCAATTTCTAGCCTTTTTTATTGAAGAGTGATTATTGTTTTTTGATAGAGCTTGTCGAAGCAATTAATCAATGGAGGAAGGAAAAGAAAAAAAAAATTTGCTCTCGAGTGTAAAGCCTGACGCAAACGAAAGCAGATTTATGTGTTTAAGTTTTCGTTACCTGTACACGACTGACATTGTTCAAAAGAAACTAACACAAATGTTGTATCACAAGACCACAGAGTGATTGGTCAAGGATGGAAATAATGTTTTTATTCAAAGCGCATGATAGATTCAAAACAATTACTCCTAGAAAAATGTTTGTGTATTCAAACAAATGTAACTGGCTTTGGTCTGAAGCAAAAATTTGATTTTTAGACATTAAACTTTGTGCCTTTCGCAAAAAATGTTTCTGAATATAGAAAAATATTTGGGAACACTTTTCTTTGTCCTGTGCATTGAGCCATAACAGTTTTACCAATTATTTTTGGTCACCAATCACCCAATTTTGATTAATTTGTTAATTACCTTGAGTTTGATTGATAAGACTTCAACAGATCTCTAAATAGATATCAGTCTTTATACAGTGGTCACTCTGACCTGATTTGTGTTGATAGGACAATAAACCATGGACCCAATTGTTGAGATATTCTCTTCTTTGATTGACTTGACCTAATTCTGTTTGAAGGAATGATAAACCCCATTTTGATATCTAAGAAAAAGTTGATATTTTTATGGAATAGCATCTATATTTATGAAGCGTGACCTGATTGTAGTTGATGGGACAATAAAGTCTTAACTTAGCTGACATGAATATAGAACAGTTGTCAGATCAGCTTGATGTTTGTGGAATGATATTTACGCCAGTTGACCCAATTCTAAGTGAAGGGATAATAAACCCCATTTTATAAATCTGTATGTATTTAAACATAGTAATAAAACTAAATCATATAGCACTGGTCAAAATTAGTCATAAAACTAATAGTTTATCAAATGAAGTTTTTGGAAACAGGATTGATAAATTGTTACCAGGAAATTTCAATGGGAAGAAAGGAAACCTGATTCCATTTCTTCTGACCTAATTATAGTTGAAGGGACAATAAACCCTAAAGAGTTGTGGTATCAAGTTTCTGTTCTTTGGTCACATCTGCGACCTAGTTCCAGTTCGAAGGAATCAATGAATCTTCTGATGGCCTAAATTTTTTTTCTGCAATCTTGGTGACACAATTAAGGAAAGGAGCAAGCATTTTGTTTTACAAGAATCCTGTCTTATCAGCTGGTCCTTGGCCAAACCTCTTGGCATTGTTCTTTTTTGGATTATTTGTACCCATTTACAACTGGGTTAGCTGGAGTGATGAATTTGCCCCATTAGAAAGACAAAACACTTTTCCCTTGTTGGTTTTTCAAAACTGCATCACTTACACATGGGAATCTGGATTGAGATCTCAGAAGGTGCTGTTTCTAGTGACCTAATTCTGGTTAAAGAGACATTAAACTACATCAATATATGATAAATTGGTCTATAGTTACCATTCATTATTGATTAGATTTATCAAGTGACAAAATGATATTTGATATTGCCCTGGAGGCCAAACTTCAACATCACTCACTATCTATTGCTATCTTGCTGGCAAGGATGATGGCCAAAAACATGTAAGTCATCTTGAAGTTTCTTCTATTTGTTTATTTGCTTATGGGTAGAGATCACGTTAAAAGGATTGGAAAGAAGTTTTCTAATTTTTGTATGTGTTGGGAACACTGATATCAATTTTCTCCATTCCAATTTTCAATCAGATGTCTGTGGTTCCTGCAATTCCACTTAAACTAAGTGTTTGATGACGCGTCTAATTGAAAAATATGCTTCGTCACGTAACGCCCTTAGCGATCATATGATCATCCACTGCTGAAATGTCTCGTAATTTTAAATCACTGCCAAGTATTTCCGAGCTCTAATGAGATATGACAGGTAAATACTGGTAGATCAACAGCTGAGGGCAATATAACCCTGTATATTGAAGATAACAGGATGTGTGTATTAAATCATTATATGTGTATTGAGGGCAATAAAGATAAGACAGATATCTTGAGACTGGATAACAGGATATTAAGACACTGACTTCATGCACGGCTTGATTGGTTGGTTAGCTTTCTGTAAACATGAATCAACTGTTAAAACGAACAGGATGTGGAAATTTCCAGAAATTAATTCTAAGTATGACTAAAAGCATGATGAGTATTATAAAATGTTGTTGATATTATATGCTTCGTGGACTCTCTGAAAATATGTTAAAAGGCGAAATTACTTTTGATGCATGAAAGTTGACAATGTTGTGGTCTTTGTGGAAAAAGGTTGTGTAGTTTTGCGGTAAGATTTGCTCACTCTATCGGAAATACCTAGAATTGCCTGATATCTGTAAAAGAACATTTACATCAGTACTGTTACAGATACAGACAGTTGTCTACTGTTGTACCATCACCAGAGCCTGGTATATTACCCGAATCTTAAAGAACAGGGACATATCTAATGATTACCATCTTTTTATTTCCAGGAGAGGAATTGGAAGCAAGATAAAGAGTAAAGGATATGGAAAGTTGTAAGGTCCAGACCGAAGCTCAAACACTTATGGAGGGAAAGAGCTTAAAGCCATCCACCTATTAGATTGTGCAATGCAGCAAATTGATCCGCCAGTATATTTTGTCAACCGTGACCTTGACAGTCCTGGAAGCGTCAGCGTTGGTCAAAGGTCATTGGGTGCCGAGAGCTCAGTCAGTGGTTTTTCATGTGCGAGCACAAAACCGTTCCTGAAGCACACTGAAAAGGAAGAATGTGTTCAGTGTCGATTGGAAGCAGACGGTTTAGCTGATTTAGAAAAGACTGGGTTATGTGGAATTGGGCGATGGCGACCAAAATGCATCCAGAAATGTGCCTGTATTCAAGTCTTTGTGGCTTGTATGTCAATGCTTCTGATTGTGTCGGGAGCTTTGTCAACCGGTTATCTCAACAGTGTCATAACAACCATAGAAAAACGGTTTGAAATCGGTAGCACCGTGTCAGGAATTGTGATAGCATCTTATGAAACCGGGTCCCTTTTATCTGTGATTTTTGTGAGTTATTTAGGAGGGAGGCGTCATATACCAAAATGGATTGGATATGGCGTGGTGACGATGGGTTTTGGTACCCTCCTTTTTGCTCTTCCTCATGTGATAGCACCCAAATATACCATAGATAATCAAAAGGAGCATAATTTTACTGATGTGAACATATGTCAAAGGACGCCCACCACTAAAAAGGGGCTGTTCCCTGGCGAACTGTGCATCAATGAAAATTCAGGGAATTGGATTTATGTGTTGATTCTCGTTGCTGCTCAAGTTCTGTTGGGTGTCGGAGGTACCCCCATCCTGACCCTGGGTACCACATATATTGATAATCATGTTAGAAAGGACCAAGCACCACAATATTTAGGTAAGTTGCACAAAACCAGCAGCACGGACAGCTGACCTGCTGCCAGTCAACCAAAAAATAATGTGGCAGTGAACACATGTACAGAATAGGTCAAGTTCTGTCATTTGATAACATTCTTTTACATTTTTGAATCCTCAAAGTATTTGATTAAATGTCTCAAATTGAGCTCTATGATCTAATCAATAACTGATCTTTGGGAAGCAACCATTAATTCAATCTTGGTTATTTTTCTTTCAGCTGTGGTATACGCTACCGGAGCATTGGGACCAGTTATAGGGTACGCATTAGGAGCTTTAATGTTACAGTACTACGTTGATACTTTCACTCACTATGTTCCCATAACCTCATCTCATCCAAGATGGATCGGAGCTTGGTGGGGTGGCTTCATCATCTGTGGACTACTCATCTTAATGTTGGCAATTCCATTCATGGCCTTTCCTAAAGTCTTGGTGAATGAAAAACGGAAACTCTTAGAACATAAAGCTAAAGAGGATCTGTTAACTGTGTCAGATAGTGCAGAAGAAAATGTCCAGTATGGAAAAACCATCAGAGGTAGGTAACTTTCATAATCAAATTGAGTCAGGGTCTATATCTGCTCTTGCTTAGACCCATCCATCATTGGGTATCTTGGCAGTTGTTTGCTTGTGTCTCTTCCTGTTCCTAAAAGTCACCCTTAATAGTTTTCCTGACTACGGCTGGCGGAAATCTTTCATTCGTATAAAATCAGAATATGTAATATTGTTATATGATATCTGATAAAATTTTTATGAACGTCACGAATAATTTTTGTTTCAATTTATTTTCTATTGAATTTTGATTGATTGATATTTTCTATGTCTTTTGCTTCAATTGAATCTTATTTCGTAATAGATTATTCGCTGGAAACTTGGTTAAAAATAGTTTCATTTTACCAGTAATTTGGTTAAAAATAGTTTCATTTTACCAGTAATTTGGTTAAAAATGGTTTCATTATTTTAGTAACTCGGTTAAAAATGGTTTCATTATTTTAGTTACTTGGTTAAAAATAGTTTCATTATTTTAGTAACTTGATTAAAAACCGTTTCAAAGTTTTAGCTCTACCCTATCTCTACCTCTAGGAGGGCATTCTTCCTACCCCCACCTCCATTTTCTCCCTGCCACCACTATTACTAGTTATAAGACTGAGATTCTGTTAGAACATACTTTGTCTATAGACTATAATATAGTAGAGTTTTATCTGTACCAAATAGAAGTCAGTCACTAGCTGATAGATTAAGTTAAAATCAATGACAGCCAGTTTGTTACCTCATATCTCCATTTTATGACTTGTTTATACAAGCTGAGAGCTATCACTGATAACAACTGTATTTGTCTTCTGAATAACTATCAGGCTTGCTGATTCTTTTGAATTTACCAGTCATTTTGTTTTATTTATAAGTCAGCTTCCAAATAAAAGTGTTTTTGGGTGCATTTTCCGTTAATCAAAACATTACAATGAATTTTCCGCTTGTTTATGTTCGCAAACAGCATCATAAGGACTGATTTGTGATTGGTTGAAATTTTACTGGCATGACAGCAGAGCCAATTTGGATTCGACACTATTTAGCGAATTTCCCTCAAGGAAGTAAGACGAATGGGGGAGTGGTTTGGACAGGATGGTATTAAACTATAGTCCAAGAAGTATGTGGCGTCTCTTTAATAGAATGATAATTTGTACTGAGTAAACTAAGACCATATGGTGTGATTAAGATAGTTGTAAACAAATTCTTCACCTTGTATTATTATTAGCTTCAGATAGTTGGCTAGATATAGAAAAAAAATACATACATAATTCAGCCGGGCGTTTGGTGAAATCATGAAAACGACTCAATATTCAATAAAACAACAGAATTCAAAATGGCAGTAAAAGGGAAAATTTTAAATGTGGCATAATCTGGTTCTGAGGCCAGAGTTGGAACTAGCAGAACCTGTTTATAACTCATGATGATATATGTAAATGTGCTTATTCCATAATATTGTCAAGATTGCGTTTTTGATAAGCTTAAACCAGCAAAAATGTTCCCATGAACCATGGTTACATATTCCATGACATCAACCTGGCCCTTTGCTCTTCCTTGAATCAGCCTCAAATATACCATGACCTTTACCAGATTTTTTATCCCTCTCGCCTTTAACCTTCTTTCCCCTATAGTTCGACATTGAACTGTCCTCTCTGGGGATTTAGAGTCAATTTCCTCATTCTCATCTAATTTGCTGATGGATTGAATCGACTATAAATCTTGCTGGTTTAGTAGCCTCTTGGGAGTCCAAATCTCTCTTTTGTATTAACTAAATAGACATTAGTAATAAAGTTTTATTAACCTAAAAGGTCACTCTCGAAACCTTTCCATGTATTTTATGCTGATGAAAAACATTTAATTTGATTGGCTGTCTGAAGGTGTACACCCACCAATCAGGAAATAGCGTCTTCTTGATCACGATGATAGGACTTTGACATAGAACTTTGGACCAATCCTTTTGATTATCAGACTTACGCAAATATTTTCTTAAGAGAATTTTGTCGTGCTTGTACAGATTTATGATTAAGCCTTTTGCACTTTCATGGTAAATTGTTTGAATTGTAGACATACATGACATTATTTTCTCATAGTTAAAGTGTTACTTGTAGCATAAATTTAGCGGTTTAAGATGATGAATTTGATGACAAGGCCTATGGCATTTATTGCAAATTCTGGTTAACTGACAAAGAAAATATATATTTAGATGATTAGGCCCACTGCATTTTCATGACTTCGAAGACAAAAGAAGTCGTAGATGCACTGATAGCCATTTTGTGTCAGCCCACTTCTGCTCAAGGCTATCCATTGTCTTAATTTAGACACATCTTTTGTTTCAAGAACTGCCACTGGGTTCAAACAGTGGTTGACCTTTTCTTATTCCTCTAAACTTATTGATAGAAATAACTTCATTAAGAATCAGAGCTTTCACCTTTGATTTCACGCTTGTTTGAAAAGGTCACGACCTGTGTGTAGGCCACCATTTTGTTTGCGTTTAATTTGTTCTTCAAACATTGGTTTCCTTGGAAGTCATGTTTAAGAATATAAGTTGGCCATAACGTTACGTCTTAAGTTTCTGGAAGTACAGATTTAAATGAATTGGTTCTTGTTCTGTCTGTTGAGAGCATGAAAGAGTGTTTGTGTCTAAGTGCTACACCAAAATATTTTGCGGCATTAAATTTATTGAAACGAATTTAATTAAATTTCTCATCTTGCCCCGTTTCAAAATAAAAATCTGACTAAGAAAAATACAAATATCTATGTGATATTGATTGAACAATTTAGATTTTTTAATCCATGGCCAATGCTTTCTGGTGTTTGTATGGATCTCATCTCTTATGCTAGTGTTTATAAAGAACAATAAAGGTAGCATCTGTTTTTTAACCTATGTTTCTATGAGTGTTTTAATAGGTTAGTTTACAGGGCCAAATAATGTGAAGGCCAGGCCAACATAAACACTAACCCACAATGAGTTTCCTCCTACCAGACTAAATAGTTTTACATTCTTTAGACTACTGATACTTGACAAGTTGTTTGATAGTTTCACTGAGAGCCTCAAACTGAGTTGTGAGATGCATTCGAAACTTGTGACCACTCGTAATTTGCAACCATACGCAACTGATAATTGCTATGGTGTGAGGCCATCTTTAGGTCTGAGACGTTTGACATTTAAGCAGATCGAAAGAAACAATCCTTAGACAAAAAATGTAGGGTTATTCTGCCGCTATTCTGAAGAAATGTACTTCACTGCACACTATATGTGGTGTATGTAATCGCCGTGTTATAAATTGACTGAAGTTAACAGTCTTCAAACCGAAAATTTATATTGAAAAGGAAATTAAATAGACTTTTTAAATGGACAATTATTTTTCCTCGATTCCCAGAAATTGGAATAAACCTGAGAAAAATGAGGAAATTGTAAGAAAAATATTTATTTTCCAATAAATGAGATTTTCCAAGTAGATTGAATTAAGAGATTTCCTTTTGTCTGAGCCTAGCCTCAGGCCAATTTCTCTACGGTCTTATTGTATCTCTACACAGTTTCTCTAATAGTGTTACTGTAGATTTCTAGAAGAATTCAAATCCAATTTATTCCAATGATTTTATAATGGTTTATTGGTCAGACCTAAATGTATGACCTTTTGAATGACAAGAAAGTTTCTTTTATTGGTTTAGTTTTCATATTTTGATTATTTTATATAGCTCTATCGGCAGATTTTCTACCTTTTCATATGTATTAAAATATTAAGAAGGAACTTTGCCAAAACAGTTGCCTTGGCCTTTTCTTGTTCCATTACCAAATGAAAGGGGTATTAAATGTATTTTTTCCCAAGATATACCGCATTCTATAATGCAGATATCCTGGTATACGATACGATATTATATTGTATGATGTATTTTTCAGATATACCACGTTCTATATTGAGGTTATTAAAGAATCCTATTTATATCATCACCACACTGGGTATCTGTTGTGAAATAGCTATCGTCAGTGGATTTGTTGTATTCCTTCCAAAATATATCGAAACACAATTTGGTACTTCTACATCCGTCGCTAATCTTTTTACTGGTGAGTTATGGCCCTTTGGTACTAACGTATATTTATTCGGAGGAATTAAGAGGCAAGATTCTGCCAGAATTAAAGCTGTCATGCTAATATAAAAGTGATAGTAAAGCTGTAAAATATTAAAGCTACCATGGTATATAATAAGAGCTATTGTTTCAATATATTTACAGGTGGTATTGGTATACCAGGAGCTGTTGTGGGTATTTTAATTGGTGGATATATTTCTAAAAGATTTCAATTACGTCCTAAAGGTAACAATACGTTCTGACAATGAACCCAAATAGTTTCTTTTAAAACAAGAATCGTTCCTCTACTCTTTCAAGTAGTCTATGGTCTCAAGAGGGTTGAGATCCTCTGAATCCCATCTCAGCTGCAGAATGATCTCCATTCTTTGTACAATCTTGTCCATGATATAGGTATTTATTTTATTTTTCTTCAGGAGCCATCCAGTTAACCTTGGCATTAAACCTACTGGCTTTGTTTGGTTTTACGTTCTTTTTCTTTCTGGGCTGTGAAAATCTTAAAATTGCTGGTGCTACCCTTCCATATTTTAATAGGTAAGTGCGCTCCCTTGCTAGATTCATCATTGTTCCAACACTGTATAAGAGCAAATACCACGCTCACATCCTTTATTCTTATTTGGTGTGTTTGTTTCACAGTTCCTGACATAAGATTTTGTAACATGCAATGATAATTGTGATTGTTCCAACACTGTATTAGAGTACCTATCTTGATATTGCTCATTCATCATTTTAATTTGGTCTGTTTGTTTACAGTTCCGGACATAAGATATTTGATCCCAACTTAACTTCAACATGCAATGAAAACTGTGATTGTTCCAACACTGTATTAGAACCCATCTGTGGTATCAATGGAATCACCTATTTTTCCCCGTGCCATGCTGGTTGTACCACATCATTTGGTTTTATGTCTCCTGAATCCCAGGAAAGGATGTTTGTAAGTTTAGTTCTGTATTCATTGCATTTATAACTTGATACCTGTATGCGTTTTGGATTTGATATCATCAGGGCAGTGAGCCTTGGAGCAGTCAGACACTTGATTCAGATTTAAAAAACAAGGGCTTATCTTATTTTGACACTTCTGTTGTGTTCTTCTTCAGAACTATAGTGGTTGTGCCTGTATAATGGGTCAGAATTTAAACCTAGGCCATGAGGTCATTATGGCCCCGCTGGCCACTAGTGGACCATGTAAAACTTCCTGTGAGAACCTCCTGCCCTTTCTAATTATGTTGGTTGTTATGACATTCTGTGTGGCAGGTGCTCAGATGCCTCTTCTGATGGTCACTTTGAGGTGAGTTCTAGTTTTTTTTTTTTTTCTTTTTTTCTTCATTCAAATCTGTTGTGAATCTGCATAGATTGCATTCGGTTTAATGCTCCTTGTTTTAATCATATGGAATGCAAGTATCACAAATTTCTACAAGCTTGATTGGTGTAATTTCGTGATTCATATCTTGTGTTTTTCATTAATTTCTCGATATTCTGTATTTTAGATCAGTAAAACAAGAGGAAAGAGCCTTTTCCCTGGGAATGCAGTTTGTTATTTTACGTCTTTTTGGTATGATTCTTTCTTAAACACATTCAATCCAAGATTTGAGATAATGGCTAATAAGTTGCCAGTGAGCTGAACATATTCATTCTTCAAGAACACCTAATGTCACTCTGCATTGATTTGTGGGCATGCATGTGTACTTGTCAAATAGAAAAGAGAAATAATTCAGAATTTTTGCATCTATTTATAGGGATGAATTTATCAAAAAAGAAAAAGGAATTCCAATTCATTTTGTGTATTTGGGGAAAATTATTAAGACTTTATGTGAATTTATCATAAAAATTGATGTTTTTTCTATTTTCAGCATATGTGCCTACCCCTATAATGTTTGGTAATATAATAGATACGGCATGTTTACTGTGGAAACAGAAGTGTGAACGGAATGGAGCCTGTTTATTATATGATAGAGTAGCCTTTAGATATAAATATGTTGGTAAGTTATTAACAGATTTAAATCTATCTTCTTAAACTCCATTGATCCTGCCTGTATCCTTTATCAAAAATGGATCGAGATTATTTTTTTATATAAAAGGAATTAATTTCAGCTATCCTTTGTAATTCTCCTTAATCATACTCCATTTTGACAGTACTTTCTCCAATGCTGATATAAATAAAACTATTGCTCTTCGATATCTTCCTCTTCAGTAGGGTGTAAAACTCCATTTCATTTCAATATGTTTGAATTTTCTAGGGATGGCAGCAGTATTAAAAGCTGTAGGGTTGATATTTTTTCTAACAGTATGGGTTATTTTATACAAGAAAAATAAACAAGAGGTCAAATCTAGTGTATCAATAGTGGTAAGTGTTGTTTTTCTATTTCAAGACTATCTGGCTTTATGTTCCCTAGCTATTTTCCTGTACTTTTGTTGCTATGCTCTGTTGTACAGTGCTATGCTTTGCCAATTTGTTATTTGTATTTCTGTGTTATTCTGCTATGCTTTGTTGCATGGCTCTATTTGTACTTAATAATATTAATTGCATGAAGTAATTTGTGTGACACTTTCTGAACTGTATTTACACCCAAATGTGATCACTTTATATGGGGATGAATCGCACTCAACCTAAATAATAATTAAACCCAAATGGAACCTAATATAACCTTAACTAACTCACACCCGAACCTAAATAGTACCTTAACCCAAATATAACCTTATATAACCTTAACTAACTCACACCTGAACCTAAATAATACCTAAACCCAAATATAACCTTAACTAACTCACACCCGAACCTAAATAGTACCTGAACCTAATAATTGAACCATAACCTTTTCTTAGATCTAATATACCTAACTTATAACTGAACCTAACTGATAAAGAACCTAATACCAGAATGGTCTAATGCTAAACCTAATAAAACTAACCTAGATTTAGTTAGAATTAGTATTTTTGTAGATGACAGCTTTTCGTTTTGATTGTTTTCCTGTTGTTTGTGTATCCTTTTTTATCAATTTATATTTACTTTGATATACACACACTTTCCGAGCTTTTTTCTAAGAAAAATTCTAAGAAAAGAATGAACTATATTTTAAGAAGATTCTTAAAAGGAAAGGCTATAAGAAAGAAAGGTATTTTTCTGCCTCTATTTAATATTTCTTCAATTCAAATTTAAAATTAAATATAATATTAAAAGTTTATTATTAATTCCGTAATAAACTTTAACTTTTTTTAACAGCCTTTTCATGAAATTCTTTTTTATTTTTATTACAGATAGGTGAGATGAATTCCTTAGAATCCATAGAGAAGCTGGAACAGGCCAATGCTAGCAGTCAAGTGACATACAAGCAGTCACCAGAGCCAAGAGAAAGAGATGAAACTGACGTCATGGTCCAAAGAGAAATCTTCATTTCCCCTATTGAAGTACCTTCTTGATGCCACAGTCTTTAAGAAAATTTCACCAAGGAAGTATAGTGGATTGTAGATGCTGCTATATGAAAAGCTGCAACACCTGTTGGAGCTAAACCATGCCATTCATCAATCAAAAAGTTTCATTATGACAAAGTGACAAGATCATTTGTTTTTTATTGACCAATCAAATGAGGCTATTTTAAAAACTGATATTTTTGAATCATAATGATACTTTATTATAGTGCAAATATTCATGTTAAAACATAAGTTAAACATAAGTAAAATATAAGTAAAATATAAGTAAAACATAAGTAAAACATAAGTAAATCAAGTGATCAATAACACTTGAAAATCATATCTGAGCTCATTGCTGGATATCATATCTTGAAGGACATATCCCACCAAATTATCAGTCAATTCACTACCCTATCAACATATTTACATATCTACGCACAATTTATTCTTACTCTGATTATCAAGACCCAAATAACACCATAACTTGAGTTGATGGTGAGTTGGAATATCAAAAGTGCTCTAGGCTTATGACCTTAAGGACATAATGACCAATAATAGTTTTGGAGGTTAAAGAGGGATGAGAGCTTAAGCTTTGATACGTGCTACTTTTATTATCAAAAAAAAAGATCTTAAGCTCATAATTTGCAATCAAACTGTGATCTATACGCATTGCTAAGAAGGTAAGGGTACTCTGGATTTAAATTGAGCCAATGAACAATACCAATGTATTATAAAACCAAATTCAAAAGAGTGCCATTACACTATAGATATCATTATTATACATATTTTATATAGAAATTGATAAAGCCATATATATATATATATATATTATACCAGTCTTTCTAAACAATTTCAAATCAAAAAATGGGGAATATCTATCAACAACCCAAATTTGATCACATAAAACATAATGAAGTTTTGATATTTTAAACTAAGGGGATATTACATAAGATGTCCTCACACCATGGCAATGGCCAGTTGCTTATGATTGTGAAGAATGAAAGTGGCCATGCATTCCAAACAAACTTAGAATTCAGTTGCTTGTGAAACTTGTGACCACTGTTCTTATTGGTAGCCCTACACAACTGGTGATCGCTATGCTGTGTGAACCACTTTAATAATATCTACTTGGTTCAAAATATCTTAAGTTGTATTTAAATCAAATAAATTTTCCTTCAGAAGGAACTGTTTCAAGGTTTGTAAGTTAGTTTATGTTTCAAAGATTATAGTTTATGTTCGTTTTGTATGATTGAAATTTTATTGGATGAATTCGGGTTTCTTGTTCTGTGTATTTTTGTAGATATTCGAATTATTAAAATCATATCTACATTTTGAAACTTTCTCAGGCCTTTATGAAAGGAAATGTCATAATTTTATTAAGTTACCCTTAACACATTTTAAAATGAAAACCTGACCTCAGTTTGCATGCGATTAAAGATATCGACTGGCAAAAATGACATGGAAGGACTGAAAAAATTGCCAAGGCAAGTTCAGTTTTATTTGATTTTGAGTGAACTCAATCCAATTTTCATTTTTGGTAAGTGATACAAGTGGCTGAAAGCAACAAAAAAGTTGGAAGCTAAAGCTATATCATAAGGTCCTTAATATTTTTAGAGACATACATAGTATGTCAATACCTTGACATTTTTTAGAGATATGAGCCAGAGAAGTTTGTTTTTGTGATATAAAAGAAGTTTTTCTGTTAAGTGATATATAAATTCTATATTTGATGTTCTGTACATATCTTATCCATAGTTCTATTAATGTTAAAATCTGCATCATCTTCACAGTGTCAAGCTATTTTAACTGAGTCTTATGCCTTGACTGCAATTGGAATCTGTAGTGGCTTAACAAGATAAGTGAGGTTCTGTGGACTTGGGTTGCAGCCCCTTAAGGTTGGGGGCTTGCTGGCCACCCTTTTCTGCCATAGTGGCTAGCATACCATAAAATCAAATCGCTGCATTTACAAACTTCTGTGATACAAGAAAGATGGCTATTGCAGTCAAGGTATAAGATGTAGTTTGTAATAGCTTGACATTGTGAAGATGAATCTGCATATACCACTGTTTAAGTAGTGCTCAATGCAGTAGTTGAGGAGCGATATATTATGTATGTTTATAAGCAAATGAAAGACCCAATTATTATATTTATATATACTTATGTATCTGGCTGATACTTACGCTGAAGCCAGTCTGTCTTTTAGAGAGTTTACAATGCAAATAATGTTTATTTGTGTATAATTATTATCTTGAAAAAATAATCGTAAGTGTTGCTTTGTGATCAACGAAATACAAATTTAGCAAATGCTATATTGTGGACTCTCAAAAAGGATTCCAAATTAACAAAGTAGCCATTTTTACTGGAGCAGGTTGAGTATTTGAAAGGTCCATAAAGCTAAGTTGCCTTATATCACACAAATATGCCATTTTTCTACCAAAAAAGCAATCATTAATGTTGTTTTGTGAATTTTGTTTTCTCAGATTTCTTTGTCAGGTTAGCTTTAAGTGTAATTTCTATGCGTTTTTTGTAAGTAATGATAGCTTTAAGATAAGATCAGTTTAGCGTTTTAATTTGTGAACTTTTTCTATTTCTTTGTCAGGTTAGCTTTAAGTGTAATTTCCAGGCATTTTTTTGAAAGTAAGGATTGCTTTAAGATAAGACCATCTTAGCTTTTTAATTTGTCTTTCTGTGGGAAACATTTCTTTTATTCTATGCCTGTCTTCCATTGTTTTGATGCTTCCAGACAAGGGGTTTGATAATTTGTGAGGCCCTGCCCTTTCTTGTGAAGCCAACTTGTCCTTTAACCAACTTTTTGTTGCAATATCATTATGGATACTCATTATCTTTTGTCTCTGAAGGATATCCTTCGTATTATTTAATTTGCAGGATAGTTTTTTGTGGCCAGACCAAAATATTTATAGACATTTGGTAATAATTTTGAACAGGGGCAATCTATTTTGATTGGAGGTAAAATATACAGTAATTGAAACTTTGCATACTAGATGATATTAGGTTCATTACTACCTAAGCTACCTTAGAAAAAAATTGGACTGTGTTTGAATATTTTCTGATCTAAGGCTACTTTTTAAAAGTCCTCATTAATTTTTGCCAAATTCTTTATTATGCTTTTTTCAATTATAATTTTTTTGTTCAAGTTGGAAACTAAGGCTGGATACAGTGTACCAGCTGACTTAATACACACCAAACATGTAAATGAGCTCTTCCAAACATGCAAGACAATATATTGGAAAGGCATGTGTAGAAGAGTTCAAACACAACCAAGGGGTGTCAAGTTACTCAGTACACTATACCCAGCTTTCATTACTTATGCTTTTTCTAGTCAATAGTTTTTTCTAGTCCTTGCTTTTTTTAATTATTGTTCAAGAAGATGCTTAGCTAATTCTGTTTTTTCAAAGAATATCAGACTTGCTTCCAAACTATTCCTGAAGTTGGCACCGGGAAACCAGTTCAGACAGTTATGAAATCATGGAATTAGGCCCTGCATTTCTTGTTGTTATGATTTTATTTTCTTCACAAAATCATCTTGATTGTACATATCACACAGCAAATTCTGTCAAAATCAATTCATGTTTATGTTAAGCCTATATAGCTGTGTGAATATTTTGGCAGATGTGGTTGCAATTTTGAAATCTTCATCATCTGTATTTTTATCACCAAGAGTACATAGGCTTTCACCATACTTGCTTCAACTAAATATGCCAAATTTGTGATTATTCAACCAATTTTAGAATAGATTCTGGAATATTTTGGCACATTTTGCTGCACTGAATCACAAGCCTGGGCAAAATGTCTGGAGATTGGGTTACACATACACTTACCCCCATCAAAAACAGCCAATCAAAACCAAAGAAACCAAAACCAGTTGATGATTCTTAGTATTTGATTGGTTTAAAAACCTTCTTTCATTTGAAATTATATTGAATGTTGTTGAATTATTGTTGAGAATTATTGAAAATAAAAATATATTATGTAAGTTGTAGGATTTTTAATCACTGGACATCAGTGTAAGGGAAGTAACTCTTAAAGTTCTTGTTGAAATGTATCCATATTCATTTCATCCAGTCAATATACTATTCCTTTTTATATGATCCGTTTTTATTATCCCAAATAGATAAAGGCTAGCAGGGTGTAAAACTCTGTTCATAAGACCAGTATGGTTTTAAAAAAAACCAGCTCTAGAAGAAGCAATTCATCGGCCAAAGTAAAAGCCAATTATTTATCCCAAGAAGCATTTATATAAGAAGGTAAAACTACTAAATGAATAAATAAAATTTAATTTATTACAATCCTTTTAAAAATAACACAACAATAAATTTCAGCATCACATAAAGCCTGGTGTTGAAGGAATATATATCTGTATAGCTCGAAAAGAAACCACATTCGAGAACAAATTAATACATACACTACTGTGTTTTACCTGCAGTGAAATAGTGTGCATTATAGTCACAATTATACAGTATATATATTATGTTGGCATTTACTATAGTTAATAATTTGAGGTAGATCTAATTTTCAAATTCTATTGGTCAGTACCTATATAATTAATAATTTTCTATTTGTTGATATGTTCTTATTTCAATTGGTCTATATATTGTTAATCCAATTTTCTATTGGATGACAAAACTGTAGTTAATTTGCTATTGGTTAATATGTGAAAAATGCTGTTAGTATACATGTGTATCTGAATTACTATTGGTGGATATATATATCTGAATTACTATTGATAATACATGTGTATCTGAATTACAAGTGATAATACATGTGTATCTGAATTACAAGTGGTAATACATGTGTATCTGAATTACTATTGGTGGATATATATGTATCTGAATTACTATTGGTGGGTACACATGTATCTGAAATACTATTGGTGGGTACATGTGTATCTGAATTACTATTGGTGATACATGTGTATCTGAGATGTAATTGGTTTCTGTTTCTAAATTGGTCTGTAACTATGTATCTAGGCAAATATGTGTCTGCAATGTGAATGAATTTTAATGACAAACTAAAATGATCTGGTTTATCAAGAGCACCATCTTCACAATGTCAAGGTATAATTATGAAGTTTGTAATAGCTTGACATTGTGAAGATCCAAGAGCACCTGTAATAGATGATGCATGCGAATAAAGAAATGCTAATACATGAACAATGACAAGAAAATGGCTACCAAATGAGATTCGTTTTCAAACAAGAACCACATTTCTTGATTTAAGATTTTCAAAGAAAAAATTTTTTAGATCATAATTTCATTCAAATGTTCTCAGTATCTATCAGCCATTTTGGAGCAAAAACCAGACATGACTGGCAAATTCAACAGCATCAGGAATCCCACATGGAATTACTTCTGTTGACTGTTGTCTTGTTGTTTGGGGTTGGTAGACATGTATTTCTCTAGAATGGTCACTACCTCTGTCTTGTGAAACTTCTTGGCATCATCCAAGGCTGTATAATCCCATCTGCAATTTATAAGATGTAACGTTGAGAGCCATATTCTGTTATAATCTTGGTATAATGGGCACAAGGCTACAGAGGACTGACTCTTCAAAGCACTGGAGGTGCATCAAATTTTTTCTTAACCTGAGAAATTTAACCCACAGCACTGAATTGCCTTGGAAAGATTTTGGGGAGGGCTGCAGCTCTGTTAAGAATGCATTCAATACCAGAGGTGTCTCCAGAAAATGCCTGAGGGGTAGACCAAAAATGACAGGTGTCTCCCTTAAGGGCTTTATGCACCAATACATACCTATCACATTCAAAAGGGGAGACTTTACATTTTTCTAGTAGGAATATGACAGCCTCTGTATGGCCCTCTGCACTGGCTACATGTAGAGCTGTTCTTCCATCATAGTCTGTTAGATTCATATCCAGGCCAGATAGGTAGCACCTGAAAGTGCAGATATATATCCATATAAATTTAATTTAACGAATTTGAAAATTTCATGTAGTGAGTTAGACAAGTCAGTCAACATTTTGTTTGTAGCGGGAGTAGTGATGTCATAGATTCATCAATATAGATTATTCCTTACCTTCGTAAAGCTGTAATATCTCCATTTTTGGCAGCGAATAACAGCTGAACAACTGAATTGGCACGATGTGTAAATTTTTGTAGTCTGGGATCTTGTTTTCGTTGAGTATATCTTAGATTGTCGTAATTATGGAAGTTAAAATTATCCACCAATTCCTGAAAAATAGGATGGAACATTTTCCCATGCAAGTTGTAGATGAACTGGATGCCAATTTTCATTTTGAAAAATGGTATGCATAGATAAAATGAGCTCCGTCCATATCCATTTGAGCTTTATCCTGGCAATGGAAATATATATGCCTCCTACCTCACAGAACTGTATGCCCTTACAACTGTTACCATAAATATCTAATGGTGGGGCCCAGAGAAATATACCCATAACATTGGGTACCACCAACATGACTCCACCTGATACGCCTGATTTGGATGGTAGACCCACCTAAAATGAAAATTGAAAAAAACATTAAATTATTCCTATTTGGAAGACAGTTGATGCTTCTCCAACTGTCTAGAGATCTTTTACATGCACAGTCTGTAGAAACAGGGCCCTGGTTTATTGTCCCATGAGAATAATTTCGGTTTATTGTCCAAACCAAACAACCAGACACATTCCTGCCAAGAAGCAATCGTCGTCCTCCTTGAACCACCATGAATCCCCAGAATTAACAAAACTTACGTCGAAAGCAAATTGTCCTGAGTAATCGTACATTCCACACGAATGCATCAACGACAGAGTATTTCTGACGGAGTACGGGTTTAGGATACGCTCTCCTGTTATAGGACAGATTCCACCATTAGCTAGAGAGGCCGCTATCACAGAACCAGACTGGCAAGTCACTTCCACTGAACATAGCTGGAATAATAACACAATAATGAGCTTTCAATTTGGATGCTTTCAACTTCTGATTCTGTTCTAAACTGGATCGTCAACTCTGTCATCCAAAGCATAAGTGGAACAAGTGTTCATGATAAGGTTAACTAGAAGCATGGTCAGCCCTAACTTCTGGTTTGGTTGCAAACTGGTTCTCAACTCAGCTTCTCTGTCATAAAATGTATCAGCCACTGAAAGAACTGTTTTGTCCTAACCTTAAGAAACTAAACAATTTATACTTACTTGAAAATAAAAATCCAACGTTTCCATCACATGTGTTCCTTTTGGAAAACACTGAAAACAAAATATATGATCCATTATTACTGGCCTTGATTCCCTTAAGGAATAATGAAAGATGCTGAATAAATATTGCCAAATCAATGTCCCCAATGAGGTCCCTCATGAGGTCCCTCGTAAGAAATGATGTAAACTTTAACATTACCTTATATTCCCTGAGATAATAGGCTAAAGCAAAGTTTCTATCAGCTGTTTCTCTCTCTGATAAAAATCTGAAATAGTTAAAATATATTTCATAGATTGCTTCCCTTTGACTGTCATTGGTATATGGTGAACTATGTTTGACATCTTCATGGGGGCACTCGATTGGTGAATATTGCACATTCAGGATTCGTGGAATCAATCCCAAGTTCAAAACAATTTGGAACAGGGTTCAGAATGTGCTCCAAGTGCGCTGAAAGCATAGGAGGTAAAGACAGAATTCAAAATGGCGGAGAAGGAATAGAGGGGGAAAATTGAGCTTATAAAGACACCATGGAATGCTCATATCCCAACTGTTGAAGAATCATATCTGGCGCAAAAATGTCTACGTATGCAGCCAGAAATATGGTAGATTTTGGAGCAGACGACACAAATATGTCCGAACAAAATCGATCATCTAATAAAATATTAAAGTAAACTTACACTGAATTATTAAAGCTAATGTGTTCATTTCCTGCCAACTTCTTAAACATTTCTGACGTCTGCCAGGAGTAAAAAGAAAGAGATAATTCAGTATGTAGCCTAGCTAGTTGTTTCAGTTTGTAAGAAGAGACTCATTGTTTGCTCAAAACCGTTCCCCAGCTGTTCTATACCATCTTGAAATTTTGCCAATGAACTTTAAAGTTTCCCTTAGTGATTCCTGTTAAATAAAAGCCCGTGTGACATTACGTATACGCCATATTTGGTATTTGATGTAGCCCAACTGGAAAAATATTATTATGAATATGAACTTACATAATCAAACCTATCAGCTAGATTTGAACCCTGTTTTAACAAGGAACATAATACTATTGCACCAGCGTTGATCATTGGATTGTGCGGTTTATCTACAAAAAGAGACAAAAATAGTACAAATACGTCCAACAGTTGGCTTAACACAGACAGCAATATCATTGGTAGTTTCTAATAGAAATGGTGCATTCGAAGACAAGCTGCTTAGAATATTTCAGGGCCCTGGGATAGTTACATCATAAAACTGTTAGTTTTAGTGGAATTGCAAGACCCATGGACATCTGACTGAAAATTAGAATGGTGCAAATCATTGCTATCACCTAGACACATAAAAAGTTTGGCAATCTCTTCACAATCCCTTTACTTTTACTTACCATCAGCATTGAGTTTAATTTCATTAAATTGCCGGCCACTAGGTTCATGGCCAACGTATTCGTGTACGAGATCGGGTGAGTGTTCGTTTAAAGCTAGAGCGTACGTCAGAGGTTTGCTGATTGATTGTAAACACAAGGGAATGTTTACGTCACCAATTGAATACCTGAAGTGGAAAGAAACAGTTATAGGCTACATATATCTTCACTATATTTGCGCACATGCAGGGAAAATTCCAAGCATGAATAGGACCAGTCCACTTTATCTTTAGGTAGTTTAAGTGGTAATAAGCACAACTTAAGCCTGACTTGTATAGAGTCGATTACAATGTTTTCTACCCTATAATAATGTGGACTGTTTGTGTTTTTAACTGTAAAATGTGCATAATAAAGAGCAGAAATGTATACTATTAAACTCTGTTATATTTTGTTTTCATTTATAAAGAGTTCAAAAGGCCAGTAGTATGTTATAATATATATATGTGCTGGATTAACAAATTAACAAATCAATAATTAATTAATTCAATCATATTCAGCTCATTAATTATTCGGAATAATTAATTAGGGAAATTTACCTCCTACTAACATTGTTTATTATTGTATATGCATCTGTTACGAATAATTTAATCCAGCAAATTTCAGCTGCTGCCCACGGCATGAAAAGGGCAAGGGTATATAAATCCCACCTCAATCTAACTACCAACTACCACAACCCTCTGAAATATGTATTATGGCTGGTGTCCCTAGCAAGGCAGGGCATGCTTACCCTCCTGCAACAATTGATTCCCCTCTATCTATACCTTTAAGAATATTCTAGCCAAAGTTTTACATGTTTTTTTTCTACTTGCAGTCAATAATGGTTAATGGCATTGAAGACTTCAACAAACAGAGAATTGAAGACTTCCAAGTAAGTTCTATTATCAGAAAAAATCAATATAAATTTCTACCAGAGCTGATAGAAAGAGATCCTGGTTCATGATAATCTATTTTTAGCATCATAAACCTAACTCTTAGCTTAATTTAATTACTACACGAGAGAGTGGGATTGTTCTCAATTTTCATTCTTTAATGGCCACAGAGCTTCCTTTTACAAAACAAATCATGAATAGATTTCATCTGATTGATCCATCACAAAAATCTATTTTAATTTGGGTTAATTACTCCACTGCACAACTGGATTATTGGAGTGGCGGAGGGGGGTATAAGTAAAACTTACCTCTGGCCGTCTATGGTACAGATTGATACACCCCAGAAATCAGCTGAATACCTGGCTAACTGAGGTATATAACTTGCTACCTGAAATTACACCACAGTAGTCAAAAAATCTTAACATCCAACATCTTTCTTGGGTCTGATTAATTTAATCTTATGCCAATAAATAACTTAGTTAGGGCCAATCAGGGAACAGAATTGTCAAGGAGGCCTCACAGTCGTTTCTTTCCACATGACAAATTGAAAGTGGGGGTTGGGGCAAAATTGGACCAGCCCGAGCTCTGAAAGCGCCATGATAACATGAAACTCAACTCTAGTTCAGTTCAGTGGCTTAAAAACAAAAGATCCTACCTTGCCATTGGTATTACTTTTAACCTTCCAATAAAGGTCATCAATACTTTGACAGAAAGTCTGGAATTCAGGTATGATAAAATTATTGTGGAAAGCTTTACTGATTAATATTATATTATCACCTACACACCTGGAAATAAATATCAAAAAATATTATTTAAAACAAAATATAATTCATTTATTTATATATTGAATTATTCATTTAATAACCATATATTTGTGTGTATAATACGCAGATTTTTACCCCAAAAGGAGGCCGGAGGGATGGAATGCGTATTATAGTCACAATTATACAGTATATAGTTATTATGTATTTGACAAAGGATTTATATCACTGTGACATTTTTCTTAAAAGAGTGCACAATATATTTAATTATACAGTTTTTAATTGTTATTTATATAAGGAAGGACCTAAGACTATTAAAAAACACTGTGACTTTGAGACCATGACCAATATTAAATCTAGGGTATTATGGAAGATAAAACAGGTTATATGCAGGAGGCAATGACCTGGAATAAAATCTGATATAACTAGTAAACAAGGTGATCTAATAACTTGTAAACCTGGCAGTCTGTCAGATTAATTTAAAGGGGAATACCCAGTTTCAAATGTTCAAGATTACATGGGAATGCTTTATTGCTGACAGAAGAGGGTATTTTATGCAAAAGGACAGGAACTTGCTCATATGCTTTGATTTTTTGTCTGGCATTGCAAGCAAAATAACAACCCTTTTAGGGATCTTGCCTTATCATTGCTCTATCTCTCTAAATCAAGTTTAACACAGCTTAGACATGCCCTGTTGGTATGAAATCATTTTTTTTATTCTTATATGACATTTTGACCCAAATCCATAATGTCCTTGACCTATATTTGACCTGGTATTATTATTCAATCAACCACACATACACAAGTCAGCAGCCATAAAAACTATTGAGATCACATTACAAGGCTGACTGATCAATTTTTATTGCCTTATCAGCATACTGTTACTTTTTTTTTATATATACTTAAAGGGTGAATACCTCAAAATATTGGGAAATTGAATGTATATATTGAGCACCCCCTTAAATTGGTACCATTTTTTTTCATTGTGGAATTGAACAGTTTTAAAAAGCAGCTTACTTTCTAAATGTGTCTCTGTCTAAGTGAATGGAATGGACGCCTTCCATTTCTGCCACTGATCTCTGGAACTGTGCTAGATTCTTCATGGTTTCTGCTAGTCTGGGGTCCGTCTCTCGAAGACCTGCTTTACGCAATTGCTGAAATGAATAGAACAAGTTGGAATAAAGTTTTCTGAAATTATAATATCAAGGAAATTTGTGAAGCTCTTCTGAAAATAATTCCCCTCTGTGCACACTGTATGGTGTGGCAGCATATGCTGTAAAACAATAGGATGTAAAACTTCTTAAAATGGTATGAAATCAGTCTGTAATATGTTGTGCCACTGAACAACTGCAAAGAAGTTAAGATGTAGGTTTTTCTGCATCAAACGGGACTTAAACTTTCCAAATAATTTAATAAATTTAGCAAAATTATGAAACTCATGGTTCAGGAATTTATCTTAAAGAAACAACAATTTTATTGTTAATTTTTATTTAATCGTATGTTAATTTAATTCTAAACACACAGTAATATTAAGTGCTTTCGCCTTTTTAGGTTAATTGTCTTCAAAGAATCAGATAAAATGTTTTATGTAATTAAAGGGACAATTATAGTTTTTGTCAGTTTGGTAAATTCTGTTGATTGAATCCATTCAAATAATGAGCCATTTTATTTCATCAAGTGAGGTGTAGGGTATTTATTGTTTTTTAAGAATTAAAGAGGGACTACCACATAAAGATACTCAAGGTTAATACTAAATAGAATTTGATGTAGAAAACTTCATGTAATGAAATAGAAAAAAATGTAATAATCTTCAGTAATCACAAATATGGCAGTTCTCTTTAATGTGGTTATTTCTTTTAACTGTGGATGTGTCCCTTTAATGCTAGATAGGACAACAATCTATAAAATCTGCATAAATATAAACATAACAATGATATAATGTCAAGTTACGTTTATTTTACAAGGTTAAAGCTTGTTATTATTTATATATATAACTATAACTATATTAAAACAGCACTCGTGCGAAATATAAACTTATTTCGTGTTTTATATATAACCACTATATAACTAGGGTCCTAACTTGTTAAAATAACAGAAAGATTTATTTTCTGTTAAGAAAAATATGAAGATATTTAAATTTTACTCACTGATTTGAATTTAAGAATTGGTAGATATTGCTCTGAGTCACAGAGTGAATCAAAAATTCTGTCTTCAATATCATCCATATTCCATGTTCCTCTGGAAAAATAAAAACAAAACTATATAAAACTTCATTTCATTTCATTAGCTCAATAAGATACAGAACAGTAGGATATAAAACTTCATTTCACTTCATTAGAGTAACAAGATCTAGAATAGTAGAATATAAAACTTCATTTCATTTTATTAGTCAAATAAGGAGACAAAAAGGATACAAAACTAAATTTCAGTTTCATTTCCTTAAAGGTACCTACCCATCAAAAATATCTGCTGTATAATTTCTGGCTTGTCCATCTCTAATAGTGTGGGGTATTCCATTTAAATCTCTAGTATTTACACAGGTACTTCCCTTTAATATTCTTCCATAAGAAGTCTGCCTCCCGACAGAAGAATAAATACTAAAAAATCTACCCTTTCCATTAAAATTGGGTGCACATTTTGTTGTGAAATGCCTTAAAAAGAGGCTACTCATACCTCGAAAGTGATCCTTTGAAATTTGAGAAAATCCAAGTAACTATGTTAGGGTATTTTTAGACTCGAGACCTCGGCCAATGCTTCCGAGAATCGACTATATGTAGTCTCTTTTAATACAGTTCAGCTATATCCAAATACTCAAGTGATGATGAAATTGCTCTACTTTCGCTTTCTCAGCCCACAGCTTGGACTCACGGTATCGACGATGGAATTGATTTTTCACGCAACCTTGAACGTCCTTTTTTACCCGATCGCCTCCTCCTATGAGCTCAGTTTCGATTAGTCCCGAAAGCTATCAAAATAAGGAAGGTTTTAATTCATAAATTCTGCCCAAAATGTCGTCGAATGACCTCCAAAGTGACAGTCTTTTTGTTGACAATCAATGCACATGGTGAGACAAGGATCTAGATATAAATAGATTGAGGTCATGTGATGTATTTTGGCGAATTTGATTGGCTGATTAAGCCACTCCCTATCCTGTCAATCAAATTTCTAGGTAATTAAATTCCCGTTCAGGAATGGTCAAAGGGAAGTAATCCAATTTAATAACGTCATTCAATAAACGCGGTCTGTAGCCTGAACTTAACGTTGGCCATATGATGAGTGAATTTAGCTCGGGTGTATAGGAGGGGACTTTTCTGGACCTTCCTCGTTACATGTTACAAAAAGGATGAGGCGGAAAGGACATTCCCCAAGAATAATGTTGTAGGGTAGGTTCTCCGGGGTGAAGTATTTTGGGGCCACCCTTGTTACATTTCACAAAGAGGAGGATGGGGGCTTTGCCAATCTATAGTGCTGTGTCAAAGGGTCTGCCTTGTTATATCTCAAGCTGTTTATTTTTTAACAATGATTATGATTGATGACAGCTGATGATTCAATGTCAAAAATTTGATCCTAAACCAAGACTGATCAATCAAACAATGAATTGCGACTCGCCCATTTGATTGATGTAAGCTGTAATATTGTTATTTCATTATACAACGTATTCTTTGATTAATACATTAAATAACAACACATTTTCAGGGTATACTCCTGAGTTTTATTATACACGACGTTTCAACAATTTACTTTGTCATCATCAGTTTATATGGTAAACTACCCCTGGGTTTATTCGATGCTCTAGCTTTCCTAAAATAACCGGATACCAAAACATATTGTTACAAACCGCACTTATGCATATTGTAACCATTCCACCCAAATCGAGCGGAATTCATCTATAATAAAACACGTTACTTCTTCAAACATTTTAATTTCCACTACACATAGAGTCTTTGAAGAACATCTAGAGATATCCATAAACAAATCTTACTGTTCCATTATTGCACATAATTGAAAAGACGTTTAAAACTGATGTTACACATTCTATGGTGTCGTTTGTTGGTGATTTGTCGAAATTTTTGGCGCCACATTGCTCATGACAGGCCTTACTGCAAAGTTCGTTATAATACCAACTTCCGGTTTCACTGCCACAGGACTTGTTCTGCTACTGAAATTTGTCTGTATTCCTTGATTTACCGGAATTCCATTTCTAAAATTGGTATTGATCGACGCGACAGGTAGTGCTGGTCGGATCGTGTCTATTGGTCCAACGACGGTCTGTGTCCCAAAGTTGGTATTGATCGAGGCGGGTTGGTTGGCTGTAGAACCCCCTGCGTGATTGGTATTTATCATCGGTAGGATATTGGTGTGAACGTTTTTGGATGTAGACGTCAGTAAGCTAAACGCATCTGTCAAAGCGGAGAACACGCCGTTTTGGGACATTTGATTGAAGACGTGCATAAAGGACGAGAAAGCTTTCAGCTGTTCGGGAGTAATGGCTTGCTGAACTTGTGCTTGTTCTGTGGTTGCTGCTTTTACAGCAGCCTCAGCTGTAAGTTGGGCTGATGATGCCGTTGTGCTTGGTTCGACTGCCGGTTCCTGGTTTGTTTGTATTACCTCGTTGACTGCTATTGAACTAGGTTGTTCCACAATTGTTGTCGTAACAGGTGTTTGTGGGCTTTTAGGGGTTGATGTGGACCTGGGTCCAGAAAGGCCTGATGTTGTTATTGTTCCCGTTATCTTTGGAGTGTCGTTTAAGGAGCTGGTTACGATGTTTCCTGTTATCTTTGGACTCCCTGTCTTCAGATCTCCGCTTAGCTGAATAACATTACCTTTGGCCAGTGAATTTTCGGCTGCTTGACTGACCACTAAATTGGTCAATGAATTTGGAATACCGGTGTCCAGCATGGCAAGTGGTCCACCGTTGACAGTGACTGCTTCGCCCTTGGAGCTAAGTCTAGACTTCGCAACAGCTGCAGATATGACTTGGGGGTCCTGCACAATTACGTTGGAATTGGCAATGACACTTGATGTGTTTTCAGGAGTTGGTGGGTCTACAGGAGAATTCAACATAGGTATGAGGGGTTCTTTAATGTTTGCAGGTTCCAGAACAATCGTGTTCGAGGTGAGGGTGGGTGGTGGTGGTTTAGATTCAACTGTAGATGTAGTCTGTATCGGGGTGTTGATGGAGTTACTTTGGCCTACAGTAATTGGCACCTCTGTTATAGCTTGATTGGGCCTTGATGTAACTGGATTTGTTACCGGTATGATCTTTGGATTTTGTCTGACGCTGGTAGATAATGAAGTTATTGCTGCATTTAAACCATTTATCTTATCCTGTAGCTGAGAAAATTTCGTCCCAATAAACGTCTTCAAGTCCATTATAACAGAAGCCAATGTGCTTAATCGCGGATCTGATGTTGGTGCAGTAGGTAAAGAACCTATTGGGGTTTTTACGTCCACAGCAACCGAGGAGGTCGTAGTTACAGGTGAAGCATTACCAGATGCTGAGCCTTGATCTATTCCGGGTATGGGCGAACTTTGTATTTTAGGGAGATCAGTTATTATATTGTTTGCAGCTGGCGAACTACCAGCGCTTCCTTGTGAGCTACCAACAGAAATAAAACCCTGATCTACTTTTGGTAAAGGAACCTCCTGCGATTTTGGAAATTCAATTATTATATTGGTTGATGTTGGTGAAGTACCAGTGGTTGTTGATGGTAGGCTACCGATGGTTGTTGATGGTAAGCTTCCAGTAGTTGTTGATGGTGAGTTTCCAGTGGTTGTTGATGGTGAGCTGCCAGTAGTTGTTGATGGTAAGCTACCAGTGGTTGTTGAGGGTAAGTTTCCAGTCGTTGATGGTGAGCTGCCAATGGTTATTGACGGTGAGCTACCAGTGGTTGTTGATGGTGAGCTGCCAGGAGTTGTTGATGGTAAGCTTCCAGTAGTTGTTGATGGTGAGCTACCAGTGGTTGTTGATGGTAAGCTACCAGTAGTTGTTGATGGTGAGTTTCCAGTCGTTGATGGTGAGCTGCCAATGTTTATTGACGGTGAGCTACCAGTGGTTGTTGATGGTGAGCTGCCAGTAGTTGTTGATGGTAAGCTACCAGTGGATGTCGATGGTAAGCTTCCAGTGGTTGTAGATGGTAAGCTACCAGTGGTTGTTGATGGCGAGCTTCCAGTAGTTGTTGATGGTGAGCTACCAGTGGTTGTTGATGGTAAGCTACCGATGGTTGTTGATGGTAAGCTTCCAGTAGTTGTTGATGGTGAGTTTCCAGTGGTTGTTGATGTTAAGCTGCCAATGGTTATTGACGGTGAGCTACCAGTGGTTGTTGATGGTGAGCTGCCAGTAGTTGTTGATGGTAAGCTACCAGTGGTTGTTGACGGTAATCTTCCAGTGGTCGTGGATGGTAAACTACCAGTGGTTGTTGATGGTGAGTTACCAGTGGTTGTTGATGGCAAGCTACCGATGGTTGTTGATGGTAAGCTTCCAGAAGTTGTTGATGGTGAGTTTCCAGTGGTTGTTGATGTTGAGCTGCCAATGGTTGTTGACGGTGAGCTACCAGTGTTTGTTGATGGTGAGCTGCCAGTAGTTGTTGATGGTAAGCTACCAGTGGTTGTTGATGGTAAGCTTCCACTGGTTGTTGATGGTGAGCTTCCAGTAGTTGTTGATGGTGAGCTACCAGTGGTTGTTGATGGTGAGCTACCAGTGGTTGTTGATGGTAAGCTTCCAGTAGTTGTTGATGGTGAGCTACCAGTGGTTGTTGATGGTGAGCTGCCAGTGGTTGTTGATGTTGAGCTACCAGTGATTGTTGATGGTGAGTTTCCAGTGGTTGTTGATGGTGAGCTTCCAGTGGTTGTTGACGATGAGCTACCAGTGGTTCTTGATGGGGAGCTTCCAGTGGTTGCTGATGTTGAGCTACCAGTGGTTGTTGATGGAGAGCTACCAGTGGTTGTTGATGGTGAGCTTCCAGAAGTTGTTAATGGTGAGCTACCGGTGGTTGTTGATAGAGAGTTTCCAGTGGTCGTTGATGGTGAGCTTCCAGTGATTGCTGATGGTGAGCTACCGGCGGTTGTTGTTTGTGAGCTTCCAGCTGTTGTTGATGGTAGGCTTCCAGTGATTGCTGATGGTGAACTACCGGCGGATGTCGTTGGTGAGCCTCCAGCTGTTGTTGATGGTAAGCTTCCAGTGATTATTGATGGTGTGGTGCCAGTGGCAGTGGGTGGTGAGATTCCAGTAGTTGTTGATTGTGGGCTACCAGTGGCTGGTGTCGCACCACCAGTTGTTGTTGATGGTGAGCTACCAGTAGTTGTTGTCGATGATGATGTACCAGTGGTTGTTAAGGGTGAGCTACCAGTTGTTGATGGTGAGATACCGGTGGTTGTTGGTGGCGAGCTTCCGGTGGTTGTAGATGGTAAGCTACCAGTGGTTGTTGATGGTGAGCTTCCAGCTGTTGTTGATGGTGAGCTACCGGAGGTTGTTGATTGTAAGCTTCCAGTGTTTGTTGAAGGTGGGCTACCTGTGGTAATCGATGGTGGGGTACCAGTAGCAGTGGGTGGTGAGCTTCCAGTAGTTGCTGATTGTGAGCTACCAGTGGTTGGTGTCGCACCACCAGTTGTTGATGGTGAGCTACTAGTAGTTGCTGTCGATGATGAAGTAGCGGTGGTCGTCAAGGGTGAGCCACCAGTTGTTGATGGTGAGCTACCGGTGGTTGTAGATGTTGAACTACCAGTGGTTGTTGATGGTGAGCTTCCAGCTGTTATTGATGGTGAGCTACCTGTGGCAGTGGATGGTGAGCTACCGGTGGTTGTAGATGTTGAACTACCAGTGGTTGTTGGTGGCGAGCTTCCAGTGGTTGTAGATGGTAAGCTACCAGTGGTTGTTGATGGCGAGCTGCCAGTGGTTGAAGATGGTGAGCTACCAGTTGTTGTTGATGGTGAGCTTCCAGCTGTTGTTGATGGTGAGCTACCGGTGGTTGTTGATGGCGAGCTACCAGTGGTTGTTGATGGTGAACTTCCAGTGGTTGTAGATGGTAAGCTACCAGTGGTTGTTGATGGTGAACTTCCAGTTGTTGTTGATGGTGAGCTAATGGTGGCTGTTGGTGGCGAGCTTCCAGTGGTTGTAGATGGTGAGCTACCAGTGGTTGTTGGTGGTGAGCTTCCAGTTGTTGTTGATGGTGAGCTTCCAGTTGTTGTTGATGGTGAGCTACCAGTGGTTGTTGATGGCGAGTTTCCAGTGGTTGAAGATGGTGAGCTACCAGTGGTTGTTGATGGTGAGCTGCCAGCTGTTGTTGATGGTGGGCTACCAGTAGTTGCTGTCGATGATGAAGTACCAGTGGTTGTTAAGGGTGAGCTACCAATTGTTGATGGTGAGCTACCAGTGGTTGTTGATGGTGAGTTTCCAGCTGTTGTTGATGGTGAGCTACCAGTGTTTGTTGATGGTGAGCTACCAGTGGTTGTTGATGGTGATCTTCCAGTATTTGAGGATTGTGAGCTACCAGGGGCAGTTGATGGTATGGTACTGGTGGCTGTTGGTGTTAAAATGCCAGTGATTTTTGTTGATATGCCAGTATTAGCCGTTGGCGAAGTTCCTGGCGGATTACTCGTGAAAGAGCCAGTGCCAGTAATTACTGTAGTACTAGCTGGTTCTGCTTGAGTACTTCCGGGGAACGTTGTGGGTGAACCACCGGTGCCTACATTGAGGGAACTTCCTGTGATAGATCCAGTGATCGTTGGTTGTGCACTCCTGGAAGCTGTTGTGGGTGATGCAAAGTTACTTATTGGCTGTACATTACCAGTTACTGTAACTGGTACATTCGATGAAATAACTGGTGCTGCGGGGGAGTTTACCTCCGTCTTTGACACGGTGTTCACATTGCTTGTTGGTTGCGCCCCTTGTGAACTCCCGGTGTTTTGTGTCGGTGGCTTCCATTCGAAAGTTGTTACCGCCGATGGATCAAAGGATAGTCCATTTGTTGGGCTTGTTGGGTTGTTATTTACTGGATTAGCGTTGGGTGTAGTTGCACTCAGGGTGTGTTTCTGATCTTTAACTTGAAATAACGTATTGCCTATTGGCACTATACCACCTTGTAGATGGTTCAGAAGAAAGTCTTGTGTTATTGGTTCATTGTTTACCACTACTGGAACGGCTGAAATAATGAAATTTTGGATCATAAGATTGAGCTCGATTTTGGTTCGTTCGATTTAGTAATTAGCTTTTAATTGATTAGTGGTTTTTAAAGGCTGTCGCTAGTTAGTTTTACGCAGAATTCTAACTATGCTAGTTTGACATGGTAGTTTACTTCTCAAATTGCCCGAATGTTTCCCGGGCAGTCGACGAAGCAAGGAGAGCAAGACAAGAAACTTTCGAGAAACCCTGTTTACCATCTGGACTCACCACCTGGCCAACTCCCTTGGCGTGGTTCTTAACCGTTGTATGAACATGAAATTCCGTAATCCAAAGCATCTGCATTTGCATCTACAAGTTTTTAAACAAAAAATTCGTCATCCTTACCAGTAGCAGTTGTAATCAGAACACAAATGAAAGTTTCCAATCTAAAATTCCACATTGTGTGTATTAAAAGTTCTCTGATCCTGCAGAGACCAAGTTTGGATACGAAATGATAGAATGAGACCGGTTAGGAATCTACCGCTCTCGTCGTGAAGTCGTCAATTTATAGGTAACATAAATAACTTTTTTTAAATAGAAAATAACAAGGTGGGTTTTTATTGCCACGTTAGAACAATTAATTCATTGAAAATTCTTCTACTTGATCGTACATAGACTTGATCACGTAGTCCTTTCTTGGACTTTGGAGTATTGTGTACATCGCATTTTTACGGTTTCGTCGGGCATATAGCGGGCCTAGTTTTTAAGCGTGGGTATGTTGTGACGGATTGGGTTTACTATGACGACGGAGATGCATTGATCATTTTTCTGTAAACGGAATTCCGTGTTTACTATTCCGTCGGCGATCAATGATAAGTCCATGCCCTGAAGAAGCTTATCTGTACTTTTTGGGAGTATTAGGTGTGATGTATGGGTTGGTTAGTAGCATGCATTGACGAAATCCAGGAACAGGGAGGCGTGGGTTTGAGTAATTTCATTCGAATTTAGCGCTCGAACTACGGCATTCAATGGTGGACAGGTTGGAGGCATCTTGTCTTTGAAATTGGGTTTTTAACGATGAACACAACCTCGTTCAACCAGCACTTGGTGCATCTATGACAGCCATTGATGTCCACGTTTGATGAACCTTATCCATTGGCAGCTGTTTGAGGATCTAAGATGCTATGATGTTTCATAAAATAGCTTTGTGGAACTTGTGTTTGGTGTAATAGTAGGAAAACAATGGATAGGGGGGAGGTGCTTTTGATCAATTTGGTGAATACAGAACATAGAGACGTAAAACTCTTTTCTATTTCAACGGAAAGATCATTTATATTAAACATACCATTTAGCCTTAAGCGTCTAAAATGTCGGTATTACGTAAATCCGAATTTAAAGTTCTGAGACCGTATTGACCGAGACTACAGGAATGAATAATAGAAAAGGGTAGAACTTGATTGATTCGAATTAAATTGCCCGGGGCTTCATCACGTTTACGGTCTTTACTAAACAAATATAGTCATTATTGCTCATGCATCACTTACATATTTTTCTTAAATGTTTTTTCTACACTTAAAAACAATTAAAATTGTCGTTTGGGAAAAGTTTGAAAATGATGAATGATATTGAACTCTTATATAACAGGTGAGAAGCTATAAGTCAAATTTCAGTTTTGATTTTACTGCATATTAATGAATTTTTTATGTGTAAAAATTCGTAAGTGTTACATCCAAACCGTTTTTTTGTCGGTTTGATCGATTGTTAGCTTACGTTGTTTTTTTGGGGATGGTTACGTAACTACTTTTTGGGTGATGGAAATGTGGAACCCTGATTCTTTTCTGGCTTTTGATTGCTGCTTTCTCAAATATGGTGGTGCGATAAATGGAAGAACGTTGCAGGATGGACTGAATTATTCCAAACTTGGCATCAACGGCCATCTTGTGGAATCTTTTTGCTATGAGTTTACAACATAGGAATTTAAAAACGCCAGAAAGGCCTTAAAACGACCCTAAAAAGGCTCGAAGAGAAGCACGTACATTGGTGACATTATTATACGTTGCCTAGACTGTAATCCCTAATCAATCAAGATTTGTTATTGGATGTCGCAAACTTAAATCCAACAGAAAAATTTAAATGGCTTTCTTTATACGACTGAAATTTGTTATTGACCTTTAAGGAAATCAAAATTGTGTCAAATAAATGTCTGTTTGCAGAATTGCAAAAACATTTAATGTCGTGATTGAAAACCAATTTACGGTAATGACCTAGTTTTAATGTTTTGCCACGTGACCAAACTCTAGATTTTATCTCCATTATCCTTCTTATAAGCTCAAAAATGGCTTAATTCTTCAGAAATATAGCTTGAAAGTTCGATGTATAGTCCAAAACAATATCACAGCAGTATTTTCGATTCCTATGAGAAGCCATCCGGTCAGGTTTGCTGAGATTTAGGCGCTAACTATTAGTATCAGCTGTGCTTTCTATCAATGGCTGATCTTTGATTATATAACACATTTGTATAGAAATAGTGAGAGATAAGACCGTACTGTGTGACGACAAAATTAACTATGTTACATGCTAGATTAGCCCGGCTATATCATCATACAGTAGGCTTAACATCTGTGCTATCTAGTCCAACTTTGCTGGAGGGCAACACATCTAAAAAGATTATCTTCAAAACCAAAAGATATAATAAGCTTGTAACCCAAAATGACTTCTAAATCAGATGTTGGAGATGGAAATAACAGTGTAAGGAAAAGACAAGATATGGACAAAAGCTCTGGAAAAAGTGACCCTTTGGATATTTTCAATGCAAGTTCCAAAATGGATGAAAAGAAAGGAAGAATCATCACGATTTTCGGACGTCAATTTAACAGCGTGATTTTGCTGACTCATTTTAATATATTTTTATATGCTACTTGTTTTTGGATTCAACAAGGAGTTCTGCCAGTAAGTATTATGGGATAGAATGCATTTGCGATAGTAAGGAAATTCTAGGACACAAATTGTCAATAGTCTACAGCAGAAAATTAGACTGCCTTAACGTTTGCAAAGGTCAACAAATGGGACTGTTTGGATACAGCATTGCAGCCCCAATGTATGTGTATTTGGGTAGTCAAAAGGGATGACCCATCACACACTAAATCTGTGATCTCCCAAAGGCCAAAACATCCACCGATCTTGACCCCTTGAGAATTTGGTACCTATGCCCAAAATGTCTTGCTTTTATTCAAATAAACATTAATTTGTTCACTCTTTTCTTGCGACAGCTGCAAATTTATTTGTTCTATTTTCAGTATCTGTCCAAGAAGTTATCGGTGGATCCTGTGACGTTTGGGTATCTACAGACTGTGTTTGCAGGTGTTCAACTGGCTGGGGGACCACTGTTTGGTCGGTTCGGAGATCTGTTTGGGAGCAGAGCAGCCATGACTCTTGCCTTCACATCTTGTGCATTGACCTATCTTATTATGGGCTTTGCTTATAGCATTCCCATTTTATTTTTGTCCCGTCTTCCAAGTGTATTGATGCATTGTATGCAAGGTAAGCTATTTGACTTGTGGACCATTTGTGCTCTGCCTAGACTATTTTGACTAGGTCTGTCTGGATGACTTAACAGAAAGTAGACTCTGATCAAAAGACTTTTGTTTTTGGATTCTTACTGATATAATAACTAAGGAGAGCTCCTTGATTAATATTTTTTGGATGTATTGCAGGCGGTCAAATGATAGTAACAGACATAGAAGAATCAGGAAAGAGAGCTGATGCTATTGGGAAATTAGGCTTGTCCTATGGTATTGGTATGGTTGTTGGACCTTTAATTGGTGGACTTATTACCAAACTTGCTGGGTAAGAGAGAACTGACTCTTTTTTACCTCAAGAACTATAGTTGCTTGCTCATTTACGGGAGTTCTAGGGCTGATACTGGCAAAGTCAATTTAGTAGTTCTGAAGTTTTTGACCATGTTTTTCCCCAGCTAGTGATGCACCTTGGTAGGGGCTGTATGAAAAATTTTTTCAGTTATTCAGAGGGTACAAGAAATCCAACTACTTGGTGTTCCAGACTATGCAAGAGTTCTTGCCCTTGATGTTCATCTTGATTATTTCAGGCTGGAAGCAGCTGCATTTGTAGCATTTGGTGGCTCAGTGGTTAGCATTGTTTTAGTTCAAATGTTCATACCGTCCTGTACCAAAAAACAGCATGTTAAACTGAAAGCTGATTCAGGTATAGTTAAACTCCCCATTAAGACCACCTGGCTAATCAGGTCAATTCTGCTATAGAGGACAGTTTCAAAATGCTATACAGAATGTTACTCTACCTTGTCCAAGAGTTTTGAAGCCAAGAGTGAATTTTTTAAATGAGAATTCCCTTTTTTTTTCAGCGGAAGCAAGTAATGTGTTTGACATGAAGAAGTTCTTGGAAATCATCCGATCTCCAGGAGCATTGTTCCTGCTACTCGTTAGAATGGGAACAGGTAAATTTCTTTTGGTTCTTTAAGTTATGAATGCCAAATAAACACAAGGGTGAGAGATATGTCCCATTGAGAAGGTCTATGAGCATTTCAGTGAGTTAACATCCCTTTCAGAGAGTCCACATAACCAGCCTCATTAAGTATAGTTGTTTATCTTCACAACTTTTCACTAATTAATTTTGTTCTGTTTTCTTTTTCAGGTTTGCCTATAGGTATTTTTCAAAGCATGTTCTCAATTGTTGCCATAGAAACATTTAAACTTGAAGCAGATCAAAATGGCTACATTATGTCCTATATTGGCATTACGTCTATGGTATGTATACAGATTGTCAAAAGAGAATTTACTATTGCTTCTGAAAAGGCCCCAAGCCATTTGTTTCAAGTATGCAGCCAACACCCAATGTACTACAGGCTGTGCATGATAGAGAAAAGAACTGTAGGGTGTAAAACGCCATTTCTATTTGCAGGCAGTACAAGGTTTAGGAGTGGGTATCTTAACCAGTAGATATACAGAAGATAATATATTAAAAGGCTCCTGTATCATCTTAGTCTTCAGCTACTTTTTATTGGTATGTATTTTACAATGTTTGGAGCAGCTCAGTGGGATATCTTGGAGGGTTAGCTCATTGGGTTATCTTATTAAGTTAATTCAAATTTGGCATTCTGTTTGCCTTCGATCCAATACGATTGCATCCCGTACAAGTTATTTATATAGCTTTCATCTCTTTTTTCAGTCGTTTGTTGGTAGTATATGGCAGTTTTGTCTGGTTGTTCTACCAATGTGTATTGGGCTGACCATTAAAAATGTGGTCATCACCAGTGCCTTAACTCGTACAGTTTCAGAGGCTGATACAGGTAATCCTATACTGTATAATTGTGAATATAATACACACTTTTTATAACCATCTTTCAAAGATATTAAAAATGATCACTTTCAAAGATTGTTAAAGAAATATATTCAAGCAAATTTATTGGGTATTCAAACCAGAAAGATTAGTCAATAATTGTTGTTTAACTTTACTTAAAGGCTCACTAAATAATGCTTCTAAACCTGTTTATTTCAGGTGCAATGATTGGATTGAATATGGGAGTGAATTCGTTGATTCGTACGGTTTCTCCGACTATTGGAGGGTATATGTTAGCTAGTTATGGGTTTCCGTCGTTTGGTGTATTTGGAACATTTGCATGCTCTGTTGTCACTGTTGTTTTGTTTCTTTACAAAAGATGATTTGGTGATTCTTTCCATTGATGATCTTAAGACATTTTTTAAAAAATTTGAGGAGAATTTGAATTAATTTGACTGCCAAATTTCGCCCTAGTAGTGAGATGATTATTTACATTGGTGAACTTAAGACATTTTTTAAAAATTTGATGTAAATTAAATTATCTTTGCCACTTCCTCTTTGCTATTTGGTTGGTGCTATAATATTTATGATCAAGGGTTACATATGATTTAGGCTCAAATCAAGATGGGTAATTCCAAAATTTATTTGGACCAGTAGGTGCTATTGCATTTGTTTTTATATTTATATAAATATGGCTTTGGAAGCCATGAGTACTTGTGGAAAATTTCATCAGTCGTTGTCCCCTATAGTTTGTTATTTAATGTTGTTTATATATTATCAAATTCTAATAAATTATGTATTCTTTTATTATTTTTATGTTTTTTATAAATCATTTTATGTTAACAAACAATATTATTTAACATAACTTCACAACATAAAAGTATGTCCAAGAATTGTCTACTTATTCTTATAGAAATATAAAAAAAATTGCCTTTCTATTGTCCCCCCCCCCCTCTTCTGAGGCCTATGCTTGCCCCCATCACAGAATGATTCATAGAAGTGCCACTTCCATCCATCTCTGAATGTGGGATCTGCAATGTTTCTTGCAACAGATCCTGGGAAGGTATCACATAAAATGGGTTCAAACGTATCAGTGGTTTTTCACGATGTGATATCACAAGAATTTATATATTCAATCACAAGGAAGTCTGATCAATGAAATGATAAAACCATAGTAATAACAGTAATCTTATGGAATTGATCAAAATAATTCTAAATCGGCATCGGCAGATGAATTTTCTGTGATATATTTCATAATGTCATCATTGGATAAGTCTGTCTCCACATTGTCTTTGGGTATATTTGAGTCGGTCACTGCAGAGTTGTCTTCCTTAGCAGTAGGCTTAGGCTTGGATGGGAGAGTTGGTTTTGGTTTTTTATCAGGAAGTGCTGGCCTTGCTGAATCTGGTTTTGGTTTTGTAGGTATGGATGGTTTGCTAGGGGTTTGTGGTTTGAGTTTGCGTGGTACTGGAATCGGTCTGGTTTTCTCTGGAATTTCTGTCTGCTTTTCGACGCTTTTCTTTGGTTTTAGTTGTAATAGTTCTTCTAAATCATCTTCAATTCTTAAACAAAATTCATGGACTTACTCATAACATGGCTTAACAATGTCATCTTAGGACTGAACTTAACTCGAAAGCTGGTAAAGGAGACCCAAATTTCGAAAGCTTCTGATTTTGAAGGACAGCTCAAAATTGCTTCATCATCCTGTCCATGAACCTCATTCATTCATTCCATTATAAAATATTACCTGAGCAGTTCTGAGTATTCTGTATCTTCTGCAGAGGTTGTGAGCTTGACCTCAGATTTGACCACAGCTTCTGGTAAAAACAAATCTTGTCCTTCATCTTCGTCTATACCACCACCCAAATCTGGCTCCTCATACATTGGTGTTTGCTCTTCAAAAAACAAAGAGTCCTTTAAGCATAATGAATAACCAAAACATCTATAAGTTCAAACCTGATTGCAGAGTGGCAGCCAGTGTTCCAAAGAGTGAGACTGTCCTGCTGGCAGCCCCCATTGCATAGATTCCTGAAGGTAAAACCCTCATTAAAAACCCCACTAAGAGCAGAATGATCGACATAAAACCCATTTTAATTCATTTAATTTGTACCCCTCAATTTAAACAACTTGGCTGACCTGTGTCTCTTGATTGCGAAGAGGATCCTTTAAATAGTTCTTCATCTTCCTGTTCTTCTTCAGCAAACAGTTCCTGGTCCCCCTCCTCTTCATCAAATACATCTCCTGGTTTATCTCTGAAATGAACAAGATACAGTGTAGCGTCTTGCTCATTTCCTTGCTAGTAGGGCAATCAATTCTGACGTTTTTGAAGGATAGATCTCTTTGCTTCTCTCTGAAATGAACAGGACATCATACAGCTTGCCAACGTGCTTGGCACCCCTGCTTGAATTCTGACTTACTCTTGTTCTGTCTCTTCAGTTTCTGTTTCATTTTTTTCCTTTTCAGCTTTCTCATCTCCACTTTTGACTTTGCCAGCCTTTAGAGCATTCACACCTAAAATATGAGGTCACAGTTTTAATCCACAAGAATAAGATGCTTCTTAAAAATCTAGTCACTGGGGACTATGGTCACTTTGAGGTTAGGCTTTTAATGATGTCACTGTGCAAAGGGTCTTGTATATTCAGCATTCGAAATATAGCTTACCAAGAAATTCTAAAAATAGTGGTGAAGTTACTATTTTAGGTACAACAGCAATAAATTTCAGGAAATGTTCCAGGGATGCCCTTCTCTCTCGAATTACAGTTTCTGACATTAAGAATGCTTTTTTTGGTAAGGGTGGAAAGGCAGTGCCTGAAAATTTATCATTCAACCTCTTATAGAAATCTTCCAGTTCACCATATTTCTTGCTGATCTGAAATAGAATGGAAATTTGGCGCTTATATTGGTGTTAGTCTGATGTCCAACTGTTGACGAATCTTTAACACATGTTGCTAAGGCTGTTTATTGTCTCATGAAGGACTGTCAGCCTCTCTGTCCTGCATCAAAGGGTGAAAAGAAGTGCCTGCGTGTTATATACCCTGCGCATTATACTCGAAATTATACAGTATATACCCACCATAAATTGAACTACGTCTGATTCTTTATGTTTGGGTGATTTAAAGTAAAATAAATTGGACACAACCACTACATTATATTCCACTGTTCCACCCAATAGTCCTGGTATCTCTTTATAGTTGGGTATACTGATATCTAAACCTGATTCTTTGTTCTTTAACTCTCTAAAATTAACACAAATCGTCCTGAATATTGACCCATAATCATCACAGAACTTTGCTTCTGTTCTGCTCCTTCATTTTAAGTCGAGACAACAAGAAGTGCAAAAAGATTTGAATTTTTTGAAAAAAAGGCTACTTCTAACAAGTTGAGAGTGACCTGAAGTTGCTTGTCATATCCCAACATGTCTCGGATTACCTGACAGTCACTGTCGCCGCCGGCATCCTTGCGGTTTTAAGATTTCCTTCGGCGAAACAGAATCAGCCACGCCCCTTTGTTTACTAATACGGGTGCCGACATTTTGTATCACATGATACCTTGTCATGTGACTTTGTACGAAAGCAGTCTTAGGTGAAAGAACACAACGTAAATTTGAAAATACATGCGTAAAATATTTTAATAATTATTATTATTTACAATTATTATTGCGGAAAATGTAATGGTGTGCCTAATTTTGATTTTTTACGAAAGTTTTTAACGTGACTTTGCACAAGGTCATTGAAAACAAACATGGCGTTTGCAGCAAAGGTTGCTTCTTCGGCTCCTGTAAAACAACTTGCTGATAGTAAGTTTACTAGTTTAATTTATTGATTTCTACATTCCCATGTCTTTTGCCTTATTTACTAAGTCTTGAACTCGGAATTTACGATGTCCTGACAAGAGGAAGTGTGTGGCAGACGTGAAACTTGTTGGCAATGTCACTTTTTTTTATGTAACAAGTGTAACTCAATGCCAGAATGGTCAACAAAATGCGTATGTACTTTTAGTAGCTCATACTCTGGCCCCTAAATGATAACAGTACATGCCCTTTGACTAAATGTTCTTTTTTCTTTGAAAATCTCAGGAAAAAGCTATGGCCTATTGAAGACCAAAAGTCAAATGGATTAGCTTACAGTTACAGAACTTGTTTATTTTTTTTTCAGTTCCAAAATGGCAGTTGGCTTTGCGTAGATGGGCTTATAAGCTGAGCAACTTTGGAAGAATGGGTAAGTACTGAGTATAATAGTGAAAGCAGTAAAAAACTAAAGTTTCAAGTTCCAAGGGATAAAACACTTGACAAACAGTTCTTTGGAAAGCAAGTTTCATCATGTGATTGGAAGAGGTTATTTGTCAAATTAAGGTTTTTTTTTTGGTACTATATTACAGGTGTGTACACGGATGATATATTGATTGTTACACCAGAAATTGAAGAAGCTTTGAAAAGATTACCTCAGGATGTGTTGGATGCCCGAAATTTCAGACTAACTAGAGCTCTTCATTTATCTCAACATAAGGAATATTTACCCAAATCTGAACAACACACTTGGGACGATGTAAGTAACTTGTCATCTTGTGACAACTGTCTAATACCTTGACTACATTGGTCTCTTATATTGTATAAACTCATCATAAAGACTGCAAGCATAAAAGAATGTCACCTGATTAAGAAATTCTTCATGAAGAAAAGTAAGCCAATGTTGATTGACTATTTTGTTTTTCAGGATGTACGATATTTAAATCCCTACATTGAGCAGGTCAGGAGAGAAAATATCCAGAAAGAATCATGGGCCAAAATTGAAAAAGGGGATAAATAACAAGCGCCATTGAAGAAACCGAAAAATAACTTAAAGGAAGCCTTTTGATGCAAACTGTGACCTGAAACATTTTGAAAATAAAAAAAATTGTATTTAAGGACTTATTTCTAATATTAAGGTCATTTCTGTAACAAATTGGCTTTGAAATAAATAATGTCTTAGAATGTTTGGATAAGTTATCCTTAAGTTTATTTTTTAAGTAATATGATGACATTTGGTTTGAAAGAATTTGTATTGTGTAAATTTATTAAATTATATAGACTAAGAATGACAACATTGTTTTTAACTTTTAATTTAAGTCTTAAGCCCAAACCACATGCACGGAGCCCAACTTCAATTATGGATGCAAAGCAAAGAGAGAGTCCATGAAGTTTTTGCAAGATTGCCCACTTTCCATGATCGAACCTGTGCCTGTTGGTGCATTTGATCCCCAGGGATTTTGGCATTGATTGAACACAGAAACCCCTTTCATGTAATTAGGAATAAGGTAGGGAAACGACTGGGTACTGTCTATATAGGCCCTGCTTGAATAAGCCATCCTTCCTCATTATTGCAGTCAATCCAGCTGTAAATGGGTATGGATAAGCCAGGAAAGATCAATGCCAAGAGGTTTAACCAAGGGCCAGCTTGTTGACTTACCGCCTAAAACCTTAGTTATCCTTTGTGGGTCATATAACACTATAAAGTGAGGCCTGATGATAGCTTGGATACCTTAAACATGTAGGGTATAAACCCCCTGCTAACAATATCAATAGGGTTCGAATGTAGAAGTATGGATAACTAAGAAACTTCAGAGTTTGATCACGTGACCTATTATTTTGTCACATGATCAATTTGTGTAAACATTGCTCAAGGCTCCATCAACTTGCCTTTGTTTTTCTCGAATATATTGCAGTTAATTCACATTTTGACCAAGAAAAGTAGTAATTATTCATTTCAATGGCTGATCAGTGAACAATCCTTCTATGATGTCAACGATTTAATTTGAAATGGTAGGGAAAACTTGGAGAATTCCGGCCGATGGGGCGAGTTTATCAACTGCAACTGTAAATGAGTGCAATGTATTATGTGATGCAAAGCTTTGAGATTATACCTATAGGAGCAAGTGAATACAAATGCAGAGGCTGGGGCCATAGACACTTATTTAACCTCATTAGGCACTGCCAAGGTTTGTGATAAAGTTGATGGAGTGATAAATGTTACTCAAAAACCATGCAGACGAACACTCAAAAGACCAAGTCACCAAAGGAGACTTTCGTATGTGGAATATGCCAAAAATCTTTCGCCCGGAAACAGCATTTGACGATACATATTCGTGGTCACACTGGAGAGAAACCTTTCAAATGTAACATCTGTAATAAGGCATTTAAACAATCAGCACATAGAGACTCGCACGTCAAGACGCATTCTGGAGAGAAACATCATAAATGTGATATTTGTGAAAAGTCTTTCGCACGAAGACATCATCTAGAAGTTCATTTAAAAACACACGCTCACGAGAAACCGTTCATTTGTAAAGATTGTGGCACAACTTTCGAACAGTTGGGATTTTTCTTACATCACAAAACCACAGTGCATTCTGGGATATTTCCATCCAAATCTACCTCAACGCGACTGATATGTGACGTTTGTGGAAAATCATTTGCTGGAAAAAGAGACTTGGAAATTCATCAACGAATTCATACAGAGACTAGACCTTTTAAATGTGACCTTTGCAGCAAATCATACAATCAAAGAACTAGCTTAAAGATACATTACAGAGTGCATACAGGAGAGAGACCATTCAAATGTGAAGTTTGTCCCAAAGATTTCGCAGACAAATCTCAGCTCTCACGCCACAAAAGGACACACACGAAAGAGAAACCATTCACTTGTGGGATTTGCCAAACTTCTTTCAGTCAAAATTCCCATTTAAAGTCTCATCTGAAAATCCATACTGGGGAGAAAAATTTTCAATGCCATCTTTGCCAGAAGTCATTTTTTTCTAAAAGTAATTTGGTTATTCATATGAAGGCTCATACAGACTCTAAAAACTTCAAATGCGAAGTATGTTACAAGGATTTCAAATATCGACAAACTTTACAGAAACACATGGAAGGCCACGTGGAAGCCTTAAAAAATGAGTGTCTGCTCCCCTGCGGAATCTGTGGACTCTCCTTTCGATTCAAAAGCGATGTTCGAAGACACTTTAAATCGCACGTGAAAGAGAAGCCATACGAGTGTGACATTTGTAGTAAATCTTTTGCTCAAGAAAATCAACTGGAACGACACAAACGTTCGCATACGAAAGAGAAACCATTTAAATGTGATGTTTGTGGGAACTGTTTTAGCCAGAGTTCTCATCTGTTGACGCATCTGAAGATTCATACTGGTGAAAAGGACTACCAGTGTCACCAATGTGGACGTTCTTTCAACCAAAACAGTCAGTTAAAATGTCATCTCATGACCCATTCTGATCTGAAACAGTTTGCGTGTGAGATTTGCGGCAAATGTTTTAAATATAAAACCACGGCAGACTTTCATATGTTGAATCATTTCCCTCGTGAAGTCAATTCTTGTGGAATATGTGGCAGGATGTTCAAGACTCAATTTTACATCGAAAAACATTTGATTAAAAGACACGTTTTGAATTGATCCTAAATCAACGTTGCAGCGTGTGCAAGAGCTTAACACTTTCAAAGGAAAAATGCGCCAAAGTGTATTTATAATATATAATTACAGAAAAGCTCTGGTAGCACCTTGCACCTTTGTTGGTTTTGTGTGTTTGAATAAATGAAATAAAATTATATTCCTTAATTTTTTAGCTTTATGTAGCCCAACCTTTATTGCTTAGCCCATGTCTTAGCCCTAAGATGGCCTCCCATCCCCTTTGCCTGACCTTCACAGCCACGGGTAGACTTGATTATGGCAGTGTAATGTATTTTGCATCATGTGGAAGTTTTGCATGCTTGACAGAACTCAAGCCATTGGGAAAAATAAGTGATAAGCATGCAAGCCTATTAATGCCCATATGTTCGAATACTAAACAGCGATTTATTGTGAAACTTCAACCATTTATAAGTATTTATCACGTGATCTGGTTGTTTCAAAATGGCCGACAAGGAAACTGACTGATTGTTTTATAACTGCTTATACAAGGAAATACAGGTTTGTCAATTAATTCTATCGGTTTATTTTGTAGTTGATTGATCTGTGGGTTCGAGAGCAATTAGTCTAAAGTCCTAAATAGCCATTTCATCCTCAAGCATTCGACAGGAGTTGTGAGAGAAGCCTGAAGTGAGTTAAAAGAAATGAGGGGAGGGGACCTTTATTTGGCTTTATCAACTGGGTATGTCTTTTTGTCTGTTCAACTCGCGTGATGATAAAGATTGGAAACCTCATGTAGTATGCAATGAGGTAAATTTGGTCTAGGTCTAGTAACCATCTCACATTACCATTTACTTGCAGCATGGCAGAAGAACAGTATGGAAAATTCACTTCAAGCTTGTCAGAGGCAAGTCTTGAGAAAGCTGCTACAGAACTGAATGAAAATCCCAGCACAAGAGACTTGGAGATCAAGACTTTAAGAGAAAGAGTCAAATCATATCCAGGTAAAATACATAACCAAATCGATAGCCCTGTAATTAATTAAGATACAACTTGTAGATCTATACCTGTAGTCTTTGTCAAAATTAAATCTGTTATAACAGAATATATTCATCTAATTATTAGTTTGCTTGCAATTAAATAAAAACCAACTATGTGATTAACTTTGTTAATAGGTTTGAAGGCTAGATTGGATTCAGCATTCCTATTACGATTTCTAAGAGCCAAGAAATTCGACCAAGAACGAGCTTTCAAGACACTACTTTCATTTTACCAAATGCGTGTAGACAGTACAGACTTGTTCAAGGATATGGTGCCCTCTTCTGTCAAGTCTATTCTGGATAATCAAGCCGTTGGTGTGTTAGATCATCCAGACAAAGAGGGAAGGAAGGTTATTATTGTTAGACCAGGTAAGTGTCTGGATAACAGAGCCTATTTCAAATAGTGTCCAGCCTTGTTCGTGTCATTGTTTGCTTGAAATTAAATATGTATATTTTTTAGGTAAATGGAATCCAAATGAAGCACCAGTTAATGATATGTTTAAAACGTTATATCTGACGCTTAGTAAAGTTATTGAGGTAGGTTGCATGCTGAGAAATGGTTGCCATGGAACTTTGGTTTAAACAGAGCAGTCCATTTTACTAAGGAATCTTAAATTGCATGGAACACAATGTATGTAGTCTACCTCTGCGTAACAACTTGTTTCAGTTTCTGATATTTCTTCAATCCCTGTAATCTGATTTCTATTGTAGGATGAAGAGATACAGATACATGGTTTGGCTGTGATTGTGGAGCTAGGTGAAATCAGCTGGACCCATGCTAAAGCTATATCTCCTCTCTATGCTAAAAGGATGTCCGGTCTGTTACAGGTAATATTAGATTGCCAAGTCAACAGTCCTGAATGAGTATTTTCATAGGAAAGGATATCTAGTGATTTGTTTGAATAATGTTATGGACAAGCTTCATTTGCTCAACCGAGTTCAAAAGTTCAATAATAATTTCTGTTTCAGGAAGCATTCCCTGCTAGAATAAAATCTATCCATTATGTTAACGAACCAGTTTTCTTTGATGTTATATTTGCCATCATTAAACAATTTTTAAAAGAAAAAATCTTAAAACGGGTAAGTAAAAGCATTTAGTTTTAGGGATTTGATTATATTAAATGGGGATTTGATTATGTTAAATGGGGATTTGATTATGTTAAATGGGGATTTGATTATGTTGAAATGGGGATTTGATTATGATAAAATAGAGATTTGATTATGTTAAAATGTATTTTATAGTTACATTTCCATGGTAAGAATGTGACAGAACTACATGAGTACATCGACCCCCAGTATTTACCAGAAGAATTCCAAGGTCAAGGTCCCAAATTTTCCACAACGGTATGTATGGAATTCAAGTTATTTGATTATAGTGAACCATAATTCCATCTATTTATTGAAAAGGGTTATGGGTCACAAGGGTTTTGAAAGATAACATTAGTTAATAAAATAATTATTTTCGTTGAATTTTAGAAATGGACAGAAAAACTTCGAGGATGTGAAGAGGAGTTTCGTGATGATTTAAAGTATGGATTTTACCAACAAACAGCAGTTCCTTCAAAGAATACCAAATCCGAAGATGCTTTCACCAATAATGTTACAGGAACTTTTAAAAAACTGGATATTTAACGCTGTTTGAGGTCTATTGTTCCCTCATAGGAGTTACTGTATGGCTCTTGGGTGCAATAGCCCCTATTCTTTTATCACAGTAGTTTGTAATTGCAGCGAATTGATTGGATTGTACACTACCGAATACAGCCAATCAGAGCCCTCGCCAAAAACAATAAGCCAGAATGTCTAATACTTTATGTCGAAGGCTCTGATTGGCTGTATTCTTGGTTGAAATTCTGTGTCCAAGAACAAAATCAAAAGAAAGAAAATTAGCAACTGCCTGCCGTTTATCATTGACAAGTCGGCAAAATGGCTGAAGTATTAAACTAACATATCCTTAACTTTATACCGGTATTTAGAGTGTTGTGTAGCTTCCATTTAGAGAGTCCACACAGCTGATATATTTTAGTATTACCTCTGCTTAATTTCATTCATTTTATTTTCAGACTTAATGGACATTCAAAGACATTTGCACATGCTAAAGAACATATCCTAAGCAAGGACTAGAAGAGTCCACTTTATTCTAGGATAGACTTAGTTGTAATGAACACGATGAGTATGATTTGAATTATCACTTATTCTACCCTAGAACATAGTGGACTGGTCTTGTCTTTATTTTGAATTGTCCTCGCATGTGCACAGATGTGTCTTATTTTTGATATTGTGCTGTTATGAATTTGGTTGTGAAAAGATATTTCTGCTTGAGCAGCAGCAGGCAGAAATAATGGTATTTTTGGGGACCTATGAATCAAAAAACTTACAAGTAATTATAGGCTTAGCCCTTCCATTCAACTTAGGCATAGAAGCACCATTTTTCTATTCAGTATTATCTCCTTTGAAAACCACATTTTTGACCATGACAAGTTTTGTTTTTATTCCCTTCATGAACATTTCCATTTAGTTTTAGTTTGATTGTCAGCTGAGTTGCATTCATGACCTTACATTGAAACCACTCAAAAACGGTTACCATATAATTTCTAGTACAATGCGCACCTTTTATAACGCGCATGTATGGTATATTTTTTTTCTTGAATACATGTATTAAGGATCTGAATTCCACAAATTCCATATAATTCCACGTACAATGCGCACTATCGTACAATACGCACGTGTTTGTTTAAGAACATTTTTACAGCAAACTGAATTCAACAATTATATTTTTGTTATCTATTTTTATTGCCAAACAATTTTCTCTTGCCTCAAAAGTCATTTACTATATATTTCCTTATACAATGCGCAGTGCCGTATAATACGCATGTACGAATTATAGAATCTCTTCAATGGCAAATTTATTTCTACCAGCCCTTTTTTTGTATAGCTATAACATATTTTCATTCTAGCTACAAATACATACACATTAACCATATAATTTCTAGTACAGAGCGCACTATATATAATACGCATGTACGATTCTAAGTACTTGTTAACGCAAATATAAGTCTGTAAGTTTTGACAATGTTTAGCTGTGAAACTATGGTGTTTACCTGGATCTCCGCCGTTTTGTGTTTTGCTAACAAAGATATAGTTTGCTAATCTTGTTAGTGTCCAGGATTTATTTATATCTATGGCAATAACATGCGAATTTTGTTTATTTTGATGTATATTAACATTGTTAACATTTTTAATAAAAGTTTATTATATAGGTAATTTATTATAAACAGTTTATTATATAAAAAGTTTATTATAAAGAGAGTTTATTTAAAAAAAAATATTATTCATTGTCACAGAAACAAAGAGAATACAAATGCAATGAGTGCAAGGAAAAGCTCGATCCATTGTGCAAATGTGGGTGATTCTTGAAGGGATTTAAAATATGTCAGATAATAGATTCTATATGCTCTAATCCAATGTCTGTGATTCATTTGGCTCTATTTAAATCTTGCCTAGATTATGACTTTTGCAAATACACGTCAAGCGAGCAAATAAAGATCAACTGACGAAGCAATGGTTATCTTCTTCGTACGTTCCAAATCTGATACCCTCTTCTGCAAATCCTTTATCATCAATTGCAGGTCTTCGTTTCCGCCTCTCACGTATAATGTTGGAAGTTTAGGTGCTGGTGGTGCTCTTTCAAAAAGGTCGTTATAGTGGTTTTCCGTGGTGCCCATTGCTCCCATTGGTCTGCAGCTGGTCGTGACGTTAGGTGAACATGCACTACAGAGAGAACTGGCTGACCCAATGCCACTATCAGAAGATATATTGCTAGGCTTATATCTTGGTTTTTGGGAGTGTGGAATCTCTGGTAGGGGTCTGGCTCCCTCGGGCTCTAGGTATTGACTTTCAACAGAAGCCAAGTCTTTATCAAATTTTTGAATGAACTGGTAGATTTCTGACAGCTTAGAAGACCCGGTATCTTGATTGGACAGGACATCATTCAGTCTGTCCAAGTTTGCCGATGCTCTTTCAGAATGCTCAACTTCACCGCGCTTCTTTACTTTCAAAACAGGATTCTGGAAAAAATTCTCAATCTAAATTCGGGGCCGAAATATTAAAGAGTCTACAACTAGTTTGCGTCGCATTTCCGGTCACTTTCACACTAGGGAGAATTGCAGTATTCTTTCAGCTCCTCTGGTATGCTGAGGATACACCCTAGGTTAATTTTTTGCTTAAAGGGGATATGCCTTGAAATGCGTGTTCGTTCAGCTGCCCACAATTTGTTTAGGCAGTAACTCCTGACTGATAACGAACCTCTACCCTCTCTCCCTTATTGTAAAATAGAATCATCCTCACCATTTTTGCATGTGCATCTTCATATACCGAGGGGTCGTAAAAGCTGCTGTAGGAATCTTCATATACGTCTATATCTGTGGACAAAAACAGAATAAAGAATATCATGACCGAGAAGCTAAGCAAGGACGTCAGATTTGCAAGTTCAAGCAGATCTAGATAAAAGCCTATGACTACAAATTGTTGGATATTACCAAGAAAACGGTGTCGAGACTTACCTTCCTTGGCTTTTACCTTCAGCTTCACCCGGAATAACTCAAAGTATAAATAGATAGCTTTGTCGCTAACTAGGTTGACGGCATAGGAATGGACAGAATTGACACCCACGACGAATGTTAGTGTTGAATCGTTCAGTGTGATGATCAACTGTTCTTTTGGATTTTTGATCTTCACTACCGTTTGCAGCTCATCTACAATGAAAACAAAATATCAATTACATTGGGTCTTTCACCTGAAATCTTCAATGAAACGTTTTGTAACGTGAAATCTACTTACTATTTATAAAGCTTTCCCAGCCTTGAGTTGCTGCTTCAAAGGGTGACTTTGGGCTGACAAAGATCTTCATATAGTACCAATGAGCATTGACAGAGGAAACATCAAATCCAATGTTGTTATTTTGGACAAGGGCGTCGGACCATGCGCCAACTGCATGGGGGTTTCCAATTTTTAAGCTCACTTTCTTCTTGTCGGATGACAGGCTTACGTTGGTGCCACACAGTTCTGGAGACCATTGGATTCTCCTCGATTGACCACCTGAAGAGTTAATTGAAATTTTCCTATTCTTAATTGAAAGTGATCTCGGTTCGATTTCTGCTATTGAGATACTTTTTAGACTTGATATGAATAGGTTTAAATTTGGACACAACCTCCAGACAAATGTCTGCTGATCATGGTATGAGTGAGTGAAGTTCCTCACAGAACTTAGCTGCACAATTAGCTGAATTGGTGAACAAATCTCTATTTTAAATATGGGAGGATCTAGAATCAGAAGGAATTTTGTGTACTTACCTATTATTGTGACATCCATGAACCCAAAAAGCAACATAGCACAAAACCTAAAGCTGTAGCCTGGTTCCATTCGAAATCTTGTAACCTTTCCCCAAAACTCGTGGACTATCTCATTGTTCGAGTTCACTTCCAGGCGATATCTGGCCTGTTTTTTTAAAACCTTCACGTGAGTGGTGGCCAAGGCGTCTATTTTAGTTCCTACAATACAAGAAAGAAGATCGTGTCCTACTCTGTACTAAAAGTTAAATCTGAAAGGCAATCCATCCAGATGGTCGCAGTTGCTCGTAGGCGGTAATTTTCTTTGGATACAGATCGGGTATAAGCGCCTCACGACTACGAACGAGCCGATGAGATGCTTTGAATCTATCTGAGACCACCTCAAGATACTAACCTCTTCTGATGCAGTCTTTGATCTGGTCGTCCGTCCTCGTGGTAATCCCGAGAACCACATGTCCCCCACTTAAACCACCTTCAACCAAGATTTCGATCACGTCTCCTATTTTTAGTTTCCTGTCCACAACCGCACATCCATCGAAAGTATTGGTGGACCAGGTAATTTCGTCACCGTATGAGTTAATGTTTTCTCCGTGGCTGTTGGTAAACATGATTCCTTGAAGGTTACAACGTCTTGGTTGAACAGATAGTTGTAGTCGCTTATTTTACGAGCAGTTGGCTGTGGTATCTCCTTCCTCGATCACTTGGTTGTGGACTCTTTTTGCAGGCCCAATTGGTTAAAGTCGTTCCTTCTTCGAATTAATGGTTGCACTCTCTTCTTTTAGGAACAGTTGTGTGTGGTCGTTCCTTCTACAAACAGTCGGTTGTAGTCGCTCCTTTTTGGACCAGTTGGTTGACGTCGCTCTATACTCTCTAGCTACTTACAGAGACTGTTGGTTGTAGTCGCTTCTTCCCACATCAATTGGCTGTAGTCGCTTCTTCCAAAGATAGATGGTTATAGACAGTTCTTCTTTGGAGAGAGATAGTTCTTCGTGCTGTCTTCTTCCAAAGACAATTATGTTACATATAAATTGTAACGAATATCCCCAAACTGTTCCTTATCCGTCTTCCGCGTCTTACAACTATCTTGCAACAAAAGTAAATACTTTCAAATTGTACTATTTTAAAGACCTGAAAAGGTTAGCAACCTCATCCGTATCACCCCATTCGTGTCACTCTATCCGTGTTTGACAATAATTGTTCAATTTTGGGTTATGCAAATATTTGAGAATTTCGTCTCAACTTTAAGTTCTTATTATGTTAAAATCGTCAAAAGCGGATATATTTATTTATAATTTTCAAAAATTAGGAAACTTCGAGAATTTGTTTAAGGGGAAATCTCCACCTAAAAGATGATTTAGTTCTAGTAGATCCTTTCTATCCCCAAAATCGTCAAAAATAGTAAGAAATTCTGACGCCCAGACTTCTGTGCAGCTGTGTGTAGACAAAGCGGGGCTCTATGGACAATACGAGGGTCAATGATGTTTGTGGAAGGCTCTCTTTAAGCTCGGGTTGTGACAATTTGCGCAACTACGCCTTACAAAATAAATATTTGTCTTTTTAATTCAGGTTGTAATAGTCAATTTATAAAGGGGAATTTTTGGGTAAACTTTGAAATTATTTTCCGAGTTAGTATAGCTGCCATTCATTCATTCATTCATTCATTCATTCATTCATTCATTCATTCATTCATTCATTCATTCATTCATTCATTCCCTGTTATACAAAGCGTTGCAATGCCTTTAAATACAATTGATTGGAAAGGGACATAACTCGAACCAGTTTTTTCTCAGAACACAAGCGACTTTCATTTAGTAATGATCTAAGCGATGTGATGAGTCAAAACTTCCGGTTACATAAATAAGGTTTGTTGACACTTTAATCCTGAAGCTTTTTGGTTTATTGACACTGTAAGATCTTAAGTTAAAGATCGACTTGCAATTAACAGCGTTAACTTGTGCGTTCTCTCATAGACAAAAGCTACCCATATATTCGTTCAACACCCAACATAAAAAAACAAATCGAATCGTAGACGTAATTTGTAATCCATCTCACTTTTCCTGTTCCTAAACATGAGCCCATTAATAAGGATCAGCAAAATAATCCACAAATCAAGCCCAAGGTTATTAACCGAATTAGGTTGAAGATGTCTGAAGTCCTTAAGTAGGAAATAAAACTCCATTTCATTAGTCCAAAACGAGCTGCAACTCCAAAGCATTCCATCTTTTTATTGCAGATGTTAGAAATGTAAGAAAGAACAAAGGAGGAAAAGATCAGCCACCATGATTGAATCGAGGAACTGTATCGTGCAGTCGCACACGCAGACAGCGTTCTCGGTTATGAATGAACTGAGACTGAAGGAACATTTGTGCGACATTGTGCTAAGAGTGGAAGATTGCAAATATCAAGCTCATAAAATAGTACTAGCAGGTTGCAGTCCATATCTTAGGGCAATGTTTACCAACGGAATGCAGGAAACAGAGCAATCGTTGGTTGAGATCCATGGTATGGAAGCCAAGACAATGAACTTGCTGTTAGAGTTCATGTATACTGGTCTCCTGGAGATTAACATAGCTAATGTTCAGGACATTCTTCAAGGTGCCTCTTTATTAGGACTCTCAGCCCTTAGGACCAATTGCTCCCAATTTTTAGAGGGTCAGTTAGCTGCTTCTAACTGCTTAGGTAAGCTTCTTATCTGATGCTATTTTTAGAGGAGAGCATACTATCAATGGTTCTCAACCATTACAAGTACCTTACAAGTACCCCCTTGGAGTACGAGGGAACAGTGGTGTTTCTATGAATCATTAGAGGAGTTTGTACATTTTGGTGCCACAGGCCACTCTTGTGCTCTCTACTTTTACTCTTATCTATCTGTTTCAGGAATCCATTATTTCGCTGATATGTACGGCCTTACAGAACTAGCTTCCTACGCTCGGCAATTCATGTTCCAAAACTTTCTGGAAATAGTTCGCTCTGACGAATTCTATGAGCTAAGTCAGGAGCGTTTATTAAACCTGCTCAACAGTGATAAGCTCAGAGTTGTGAGTGAACACCAAGTCTTTGAGGCTGCGTGTGCGTGGATACAGTATGACCCTGTGGGCAGGTCGCATTGTGCATGTGCAATTCTCCAAAACATTCGCCTGGCCTTACTGGACTTAACATATTTGGAGAACATTGTCATAAAGTCTGAATTTTTTAATAATTGTGCAAAGTGTCAGCTTGTGATAAGTAAAGCGATAAGAACACAGCAAGATAATGTTGCCATGGAGATGATCACGCCAAGAGCTCAGCCACCTTGTATCTATGTGGTAGGGGGACGTAACTCTACTGACTGTCAGCTATCCAGTATGGAACGTTACGATTTTCTTACAGATAGATGGGTGGCTAATGTAAGTGGTAAAAATTTTAAACTGATAAAAGCCTTGCTCTCTCTGCATTGAGAATAGATAGAGCTGAATATCAGCATTCAGCTTAGAATACCCTTGAAAATTCAGGCTGTAGTCACTTCTGCTATTTCATGCATGAATTATAGATGAAGCAAACATCAGATTCCTGGAAATTGTGACAGGACAGCGGCATAAGCCTACTCATATCTGATCGCTTTCTATTTGTAGGTCAACTGTAACATGAACATTGCTCGTACAGCTGTTGGAGTGACCTGTCAAGAGGGACTACTGTACGCTATAGGAGGAGAATGTGCTTTATTAGAAACTCAAGAGGACACTCTGTATCTTCGCTGTGTAGAATGTTTTGATCCTGTCATCAAACAATGGCTGCCTAAACCAGAAATGAAAGTTGCCAGATCATTTGTGGCTGTGGCAGCTGCCAGAGGGTGTATTTATGCCATTGGTGAGTTTTTGAATCATATATGTCTTATCCTATGTAAATTGATTTGAGAGGGCCAAAGTCGAGCCAGTCTGCCAGGGTCAGATGGGAGTTATAAACGTGAGCATTATATTCACAATTATACATAATATAAACCATGTTAATTTTATTCAGGTGGAGAGGATAGATCATGTAGCTATAATATAGTAGAAAAATATGATCCTAAAGCTGAGAAATGGAGTTTTACAACAAATTTAAAGCGTAAAAGAGCTGGAGCAGGGGTGGCCGTTTGTGATGGGAGAATATATGTGGCAGGTAGGACATTTGGTCTGGCTGCTAGAAGAAAAAAATGGGCGAACTTTTCGAATTATAGCTTCATGTGGAAATGTAACACACGAAAAGCAATTAAGGCTCTGATTCCTTTGAAGAATAAGGGGTCAATTATGAGCATTTCATTCATCCAGGGAGGTTGTACATTAGGCCATCAAAATCCAGTTTATTTCCTTGCCAAGCAGTAGGATGTAAAACTCCAAATTTCATTTCTTTGTAGGAGGTTTTGATAAAACATTACATATGGATAGAGCCAGTGTAGAATGCTATGATCCAGATACTCAAGACTGGACGTTTGTGGCTGAAATGGAGAAAGGTCGATCAGGTCTTTCGTTAGTCACATGTGATCAGTTTATTTATGCCATTGGTGGAAGATTTCGGCATTTAGACCAATATTTTGACCTTGTGGAGAGGTATGTCATAAAGCTCTATTTCATTATCTGAATAAGGTGCAGAACAGCTGGATATAAAGCTTCCATTTAATTAGCCCAAGCAGGGCGGTAGGCCAAGAAGGTGTAATGCTGCAGGATAGAGATCTCCATTTCATTTGTCGAACATCAGGACTTAGTTCAAGAAGATGTAGTAGGGTGTAAAACTCTATTTCATTTTTTTACAGGTTCAACACAGTCACAAAACAATGGACCACCATTACTCCCATGAATACATCTAGAGCTTGGCCAGGTGTTGCTCTATTTGATGGCCTTATATACGTCCTAGGTGGGTTTGATGGACAGAGCAGACTATGTAGTGCCGAGGTTTATAACCCGGAAACAGATCAATGGTCCACCATTAAAGATATGAATATTCATCGTGCAGGTTGTGGGGCTGGGGTGGTATAAGTGTTTTGCAGTGGAAATAAGAGTTGCTTGACAGATGGCCCAACAAATCTGGCCACTTGTTCTCAAAACAATCTTGGCGCTATTGATATCCTAGGGTCTTAACTTCTTACATTGTTTCTAGGATATCCAAGAGCTAAGATCATTTTGAAAATACATGACCTGGTCCTAATTTAGAATGTTCAATGCAATTCAAATCATGGAAACGTATCTTTTTCAATTTTTTTTCATTTTTATTCAAATCATGAACTGAGGATTAAATTGATAAAATTTTTCTGTACATTTTGCCTTATTCTGTACCAAATATTTTTTTCTAATTTGCACCTATTTCAACCTTAGCAACATTTTCTTGAAATTTGACTAAAGAGGTTTTAAAACATTTTATATGTGTATCAGGGACACTGATTGCATCGATTTGCAGCATTCCAATTTTCAATCAGACGTCTGTGGTTCACGCCTTTCATGATTAGTGATGTCATCAAACACTTAGTGTTAGTGCAATTGCAGGAACCACAGACATCTGATTGAAAATTGGAATGGTGCAAATCGATGCTATCAGTGTCTCTGATACACCTACAAATTTATAAAACAAGATGATTTTGATGTATTTATTATGGTAAATGGGAATCTTTAATGAATAATTATATAGCTTTGAGTATCTACTTATATGAATTTCGGTGGAATTGGCTATTTGAAATTTGTGGGTTAAGAATGTATTAGAAATTTAAGTAGTTATTTGCTGTGATGGATAAAAGAGCTGAAAGAGGTTTTCTAGTATTTGTATGTGTATCAGGGACACTTAAAGCATCTCTTTGCAGCATTTCAATTTCCTGTCTGATGTCTGTGGTTCCTACAATTCCAAACCATTTTAATATGCCAAGATTATGGCATTGCTATCGCACATGTGAGAGATACACATACAGAGACGAGTAAACACTTTAGTACATATACATATCGCTTCTCAAGATGATAATCCAACTTGAGGTTTGTGTACAATTCCACACAAACCATAATGTATTTAAGTGAGTACATGATATTGGATGAGTTTTTGTCTGGTCTGTTATTTTGTTATTATTGTTATCTTTTCTTCCATAATATTGTTTTGTTATTGGTATATCTGAGTATATATGTGTTTTGAGTGCTTATTGAAATGCCAAGCTTAATACTTTGAATTTTGATTACAGGGATTGTAAAGAGATTTTCTTGAATTTTAATTTGTATCAGGGACAATCATTGCACCATTCCAATTTTCGATCAGACGTCTGTGGTTCCTGCAATGCCACTAAAACTAAGTGTTGGATGACGTCACTAATGGCGAAATATACTGTATCATTTGAATGTAAGAGTTTGGATGAATGTGCTGCTATTTTATTTGATATTATAAATGTCCAAATTATTTCTATGGAACATGTGTAAGATATTTGGAAAATAAATCATTTTAAAATTGAACAAATTGTCTTTTAATCTTTATTGCATATCAGAGATCTTTCGAAATATGCCCAAAGAGCTGCCTACATGTCAGATGTGCTGGCTTTTTCTCCTCGAAATGGCATAATTATGTGCCACGGCTGGAAACAATTTAGCAGGAATGTGTCACCCCTCAGTACAACAATATATTTAACTCTTCCACTTGTGCATGTAACAATGTAGGCCTACCGAGGAGCCCACTTTTAGGGCGTGGGGGAGGGGGTATGTTGTCTGACATGCCATTAAGTTTTCAAGAATCTATTTTAAGGGATTTACAGGCATCTTATGAGAAATATTATGCTTAAGGTTCTATTTTTGTGGCATCCCAGAATTGATCCCTTTAAAATGCACATGCATTTTGGTCCACCCTTGACAGTTCACTAAGACCCATCAATGAATCGATTCAAATGACATCGAATTCATTTTTGCCATTTAATAAACATATTTAATCATATTTCATCATATTTCAACAACAAATTAATGAAATGACAAAAATAAGTTTTATACGAAACTATGACTAAAAATTAACCACCATCTTGAATACGAAATTAACAAGTAGAGCTGACTCTCCGTGTGAAGTTAAAAATAGTACTAGACGGAATAAATAAAGAGAGAAGAGTTGAATTCATTATGTTTTGTGGATAATTTGTGACTTAAGAAATGCAATTCTCTTGTAATGACTTTCTTAGAGAGTCATGGGAGGATGTCAAGTCTCCGACAACTTCGACATTTACGTCGAAAATGGCCCATTGTCGCCATTCAGTGTCGTCACTCGAAGAGGTATGCATGCATTTTTTTATTCATTGAATCTACATGACACACATTCCGATTCATGTCACATAAATATTTGAACAGTGACAGTCAATGTAATTGCATTATGTGGTGGGATTTCATGCCATTTTAATGCTTCATTACAATTTGCTCTTTCGTGTCAATGCTATCAGCCCCTCATTAATATATTTCAGATGTGAAATTCGGAAAGGGAAGAAAATGTTTCATATGCTTAATATAATTGCAACCTTTGTTATCTTTTTAAACTATTTTAGTTATTTCTTTTGACATTTTAATATTAATCTAAAATATTATGTGACCATGTTAGCTTAGATTTTAGGCCTGGGTACACCATTTCATTGACAAGTTATTTTGACTTGATAAAGTTAGAATTTATTGACAATTTTTAACATGACACCATTTAATTTAGAGCTAGTATGATTTGTCTGCTAGAGATAAAACTTTGTGGGTTCAAAACCTTCAAAGGATGAAAAACTATTCCAGGGCTAGTGCTTTCAAATTCCTAACCACTGTGCCAACGAAAAAAATTTTTTGGTAGCATGTTGGGTGTGGTCTGCTAGGACATAGGACATTTAAGGTGTGAGAAAAATCTATGCCAATGCCAGTGGTTTTAAGAAACAAATCAAACAATACCATGTCAACTTTAACCCCTGTCAATTAATATAAAAAATGGACTTCCTTAAAAGGCAATATAGTAATTTTGATAATGATTAATTAGACAGAGCCTAAAGGGTTAATATTTAAGTAGGTAATAACGAGGTCTACATTTATAGTACGGTAGTTAACTTGTAATCAATTTCTTTTTAAAATAATTATTGTCAATTTGTAGGTCACAAAAAATGGTAATTTTTAACGAGGTTTTAAATTAGTAATTATCGGTTGTAGAAAGAAAAAACCATCATTTACGAGGATAACAACTTAGGTTCTCTAGGATCCCTTTAACCATCTGGTCCTTGACTAAACCTCTTGGCATTGATCTTGCCTGAATTATCCAAACCCAATTACATCTGGGTTTACTGGAATAATGAGGATCCTTTCTGCCAGCTAGTTCATTGCTAATTCCTATTTAGTCCATACTCATTTACAGCTAGATTTACTGAAATAATTAGGATAGATAACTTATTCAATGCCTCTCAAAGGCTTGTGAATTAATTATGAAATTAATTAAGTGAAATTGTAATAAGAAAATTTTTGGTCAAATTTAGTTTTTAGCATTAAAAGAATATGGTTTTCTTGGTCCCTTTTCAAGTTTCATCTTTTTAAATACTTAATGCAGCCACAGCAGTTAGCTAAGTTGACATTCACAAAGACTGAGTTGAAACAACTAAGAGTAGAGAGAAAGATTATGCTTTTGAATTTATAATGAGTTGATTTGAATAGATTGACATTTTCTAGTTATAATAGACCTATCCTAATAGATTGATTACTTGTACATTACTCAAATATTTTCATCTTATAGTTAATATTTACTGGGCTTTAAGAATTAACTTTTAGAAAAAGAGTAGGTTAATGCTCCTTTCTGGCGAAATTTCACTCATTGTACACTACATACTATAAGAAAGGTACCACCCCTTTTCAATCAAGATGTCCTGATGAGGATTTTGTATCCAAAACATGTTTAAGAAGCATATTATAAGTACGGATAGTATTTAAACAGCCGAAATAGGGTGTCAATTTCCGCCCCAAACATCAGTGGCATTCTTAAAGAGACTTAAGTGATGGATTACTCAATTAATTCAGCTTTGTGAAGTGTATGGTTGAATTTCTCAGAGGTCATAGGTCAAAGTATACGAGCCACACCTGCCAGGTATATCACTATACATTGTTTGATAATTATCTTCAAGGCTAGTGACATTCTCATTACATCATACTACAACATGTCACTATTGCATTACATTTAAGATGGCCTTGTTGAAATTAGTTGTACTTTGTCCTGCTTTGTTTTCAATCTTTCAAGTTGTCTTTCAAGTAGATGTTAACGTGTATAACTAATGGAAGGGATACATTCAATTATATTTCAGTTTAAAGGTATAAGGGCATCTAATGTTACTTGTCATTATTGATTTACATTTAAGATGCGTAAATATTCTGTGTTTCTTTGAAAACTAAGAACAAAATGTTTTATTATGCCACTGGACTTGCAAGAACCACAGACATAAACAGTTTAGAAAGCCACTTAACAATCCCTTTAACATCAGGACTATTGATTAGGCTATATTAGCCAGTCAAGTCTCTTTACAACCCATGGCTTTCAACCCTTTGAGAAAGTTAACAAGTCAAATAGACACTATAGAAAAGTACACTAGTGGTTTTATATGAGATCTATTGGATAATGTAAAATTTATACAGTTGATCTGAGTTTTGTATTTAAAACTTGTTATCTTTACCATTTGGCTGCTCTCTGAGGAATTGCTGTGATAAAATCAGATAAGAGGGAGGCTGGATAATCAGATCACAATGTTTTCAAATAAAATGGCTGTATCAGACGCTTAAAAAAATTATTTCCCTGTTCTATCAGTCTTTTCTAACTCGCAAGATTATGTTATTTTACGTATAAAATTTAAAAATATTAGCAAAAAAGTAAGCTTATATTTTTTAATTAGATTCATGAAAGATCTTTTCTACCAGGTGGTCCTTGGCCAAACCTCTTGGCATTGATTTTACCCAGATTATCAGTACCTATTAATGAGAGAAGATGACTTAACCAAGCTAATAACTTCCTGTAAATAATATTCTAACTGGCGGTGCTATAGAACACCATCAATATAAATATAGTTTGAGATGCCTGTTTCAAATGTTGATAGAATAGAGGGTGGTTCAAAGAGTCAGCACGACCTGGCTACATTTCAACAAATGTCAAATTTCTGGTGGAAATGACTAATTCCTTCAATAATGCTAGTCCGAAACTGGCTGACTCTTACCTAACCTCTGATAGCTTGAGCCTGCCTTATAAACTTGAGTGAAAAATAGAGTCAAAATTGGACTTATTCGTATGTAGCGTCCGATAGCTAAGCTAAGCAGACTATAGAGGCTTAGGCATAGTTTTTCTGACTTAGCCTTAGTAAGATCTGCTATTAAATGACCAGAAAGTCCCAGACTAGACTAATTCCAGTAACAATGCCTGTTGTTTTTTTAATTTCAAATTCTATTTTGAATTTTTGGCTTCCGTTTATAAACATTCTATGTAATCTAATACATTTGATCTTTAAACAAACCTTTTTATAAAATATTGGATACTGCTTTTTATTGCACCAATCTACCTTTCCTAAAAGTTTGAAAGCACTGACTAATTTGTGAATAACACTGGAAAAATTGTAGGTTCCATTGTCCGAGACTCGCTATCAGAGAGGGGCTGACGTGGAAAAGCGTCTAGTCGTTCAAATTTAACAAAAGGGTAGGGCCCTTTCTGCTACAGACTATGAATTTTAAAAGTGCACAATGGTCCAGATCTGAACGAAACAAAATGACAGGGCAGAGGAATTCTCTAAAGATATATCAGGACCTTATGTTAATGCAAATGATGTCAAGACCTTGATGCTTTGACCAATTGAGCTACAACCCCTCATGCAAGCCCAAATTATAAATTCTTCTTAAAATATGAATTAATGAATTATTTTTTGGTCATTTCAGACGTTGGATTTGGACAGGAGTGGGCTGACCAAGATGAAAAAGTCTGTCAAGGCTCTGTACAACTCTGGACTGAGTAAGTGAAATTTTTGATCAATTTCTTTTGTGTGAAAAGACCAGCCGGTCCGTGGCCAAACCTCTTGGCATTGATCTTTCCCGGATTTTCAGTACCCATTTACAACTGGGTCAACTGGAATAATGAGGATCCTTTCTACCATCTGGCCCTTGCCAAACCTCTTTCCCAGATTGTCTGTATCCACTTACAATTGGGTTGACTGGCAGTGAAAATGTCTTCTTTAAGGTCATCGGAATTTCACACCAAACAAGATTAAAGCCCATGATCACCATTTGTTTGACGTAACCAAAGTTACAGGCTACTTTGAACCCTTTTAATGTTATTTCTGCAGATAAATTTTTAATTTTTTGGATTAATGCCACAGAAAATAAATTCATTTGATCTGGGCCTGATATTTTGATATCTAAGAAAGAAGGATATTGTAAAGGGGGAAATACATCAAGCGTTATTAGGTCTGTTTACATAAAGTAGAAATAAGAGTGCCACTTGATTCAATTTATATTACAATATTTATATTACGGCAGGAAATACTGACTGTTTATCACTATAACAACTCTCTTTATTCATTCTTTTATTCATTCATTTATTCATTCATTCATTTATTGATTTGTTCATATATCTATTAGATTCTTTGAAATTTATTTTATTTATTCATTCTATCATTCATTACATAGTAAATTCTCAAATATATATCTTATTTTTCATTTATTCATCCCTTTGAGTGTATTTAAATTGGCATTATTTAATTTATTCATTCTTTCACTCATTTGCTAGTTAATTCTGAAATATATATGTATTATTTTTCATTTATTCATTCCTTTGAGTCTATTTCAACTAGTTCATTTGTTCATTCATTCTATCATTCATTTCCTAGTTCATTTTTAAATCATATATGAATATTATTGGTTCAACCTTGCCTTAAGATATTTTAACTTATTTTAAACCCACTCTAATTGCAGTATTTATATGAAATATTGATTTAAAAACTGTGAACTATATGTTATTATCAAACAGCAGATTGGTTGTAAATGTCACAAGGTCAGGCTTGGTCATGATTTAACACTTAAAGGCTAATTATTAGTTCGTTATACTTCTAATTAGTCACTCATTCTAGGTCAGGCTAGAGGATTGAATGAATGAATAAAGGAATGAATTAAATTTGGAATTGTTAATCAAGGATCTGGCCCACATTCTGAGTGAATGAATGAATGAAGGAAGGAAGGAATTAGTTTACTACATGAATGAATGAATTAACTGCTTTTTAGCTTCTCAATTATTTGTGGAATGAATTAAGGGAGAATTCAATAACTGTATTTTAAATCATGCGAGAAGGAAATTGATATATAAACGAAGGAATGAATTAAGGAAATCATTTGAGGAATGAATGAAAGAATAAATAGATGAATGAATATCTGTAGTTACATGGTAAATCAGTGAAGAAATAGAAAAAGATAAAGCATAAATGTTGGTAATATCCATTTATTAACTGCAGTATAATTAGTGGTTATTATAGATAAAGAGCTTATTAACCATTCTAAAGCTGAATGAATTGTCTACATATTTAGTTGAATATCACCTAAAAAGTTCTTGAATTTCACTTTTGATATACAGTTGAAACATGTGAAACATATGCTAGAATATAAATCTTAGAGCCTTTGTATAAATAGATGGTAGACTCTACCAGTTAGAAAGCCAAGTTAACTGTTGACAATACAAGCTTGTCATTTGATCTGGGAGTATTTTTTATATCTCTCTTTCACACATTGGAATTACATTTGATGCAGTTGAAATTCCTCTTGTACATGTTGTAACACGATAGTCACATAGTTGAGGTCTGGTTGAATTTTGTAGGACAAATTTTTTGTCACATGTTCAGTTGAAAATATATTTGTGCATTTGAGTTTAGAGTTGAAACATTAAAGGGATTGTGAAAAGGTTTTCTTGAATTTTTATGTGTATAGGGAACACTTATACAATCAATTTTAACTATTTTGGAGTGAGAAATATATTCAAAATTCAAGAAATGGCCATGACTTTGCAATCTATAGCAATATATAACACTTTCAAATGCTTCCTTGTGTTACTCTTTCACCAGGGAAATTATAAATTTGTCATAAAGCCAAAATGAAACCTATGAAGCTATGAGTTAATAATTTGATCATATCATTTCCTCAATGGCTATAAATACTCTTTTCTAATTGTCACTTTTAGTCATTTAAAGAGGCTATCCCTCTGTTTCTTAACTGTTTCAATTTTAAAGGGACAAATGCGCTATTTGTTTGTCTAATTCTACCTTAGTCTCAGAAACATGAAATTATGGCTGAGCTAATGAGTAATAGTGTTCACAGCTCACCGCATCAAAATTTGAGCTTTCAAATCCATGTGTGTCCAGAATTATTCGTGTTTGAAAGTTAAGAAGACAATCTATAGAAATAAAATGTTAAATTCCTAGTTTGAGATATTTTTGAAGGAATTAAAAGATTTTCGTATATTTCTAGTACTTCTGAAAACTATTTACATATATTCAAGACCTAAATCAACCCCTTTAAAATAGCATCTGTCTCTTTAAAGTTATTTCTGCTATTACACAGTCTAAAATTACATTTTCAAATTAACTGTGTCTGAATAGATATTGAAAATATTGTCTACTTCTCTTGTCATTTCCATAATTATCAAGCTATCAAACAACTTCTATCATTTCAGCAGTACTCTTTAAAGTCTTTGATCGATTTCCAGGAATTTATTTGGTGCCAACTTGGCTGCAATAAATCTCTTAGACTTTCATTTCATTCACAACTCTTAAAAAAATTCCTGAAAATTGATTTTTCTCTTCAATTTATTCCTGGAACACTAGAATTGTGTGAGGAATTTTCATGAAAAAATGGAATCGTTTGGTTGTTGAATAGAAATAGGGTGAAAACACGAGTTTTAATTGAGTTAAAGATCAGACATGGCTAAATATCCTGGAGTTATCTTTAAGCCTGGCTTACATTGGACTTTTTTCTTCTTTATACTTTGGAATTCTCAATTAACAAGAGAGGCTCACAGCACAAGGCATTTAAGAACTCAATAGTAAAAAAAAATGAAATTAGAGCAAGTCATGGCTAGGCAACAGGGGTGTCTATAGAAAACATCTGAGGAAGGGGCCAAAAATGAGAAGTGATGAAGCCAAAGCCCCTTGAGGCCAGGAGGCTACCAGGAGCTCCCCAGAAGTCAACAGATTCAGATGGTTTGAGATGAATTTTGAGGGGGCTTGATTGTAAAATAAGTGCTATCACAGGCACGAGAGGAGACCATGCCCAAATGGCCCTCCTCCTATACACTACTGCTGGGCCAGTAAAAATTCAAAAAAATTCTAAACCCTTTTCCTGATGATTGTAAAGTGTGATGGCCTGTGATAGATTATAATGGATGATATTGTCAATGTCTGAGACTGGTTCCTGTCCTATTGATCCATTATTAAACTAACTGGTACATTCCAGTGAATTATTGTTTCTATTTATAGATCATTCCTATAGTTTCTCAACGTGCCTGACATGGTGTTAACGTCCTCTCTTTTATTGCTAGAGAAATGAGCTTTTGAGAAATTCCACTTTTACATTGAATGGATTATTAACTATGTGGACTCTCTGAAAGGGCTTTAAGCTCCTTCAATAAATAGAAATTGAAACAAGATATTGTGGACTCTCTGACAGGATGAGGAGTTGACACGGAAATACAAATTATGGTAGATTATCCTTGTGAACTCTCAGAATAGAGTAATTACAAGTAATTGACAAACAAATTGAACATTGTCAGCTGCTGCTAAGTGGATGTTTTTCAAGTTTTTTTTTATGGCTGCGTTTCTTTCCTATTTTTAACATTTTTTTATTTTTCTTTTCAGCACATGTAGCGAATGAAGCATACCTGTCAGAGAATTTAGAACGACTGGGAAATATTGCTAAAACTAGGGATCAAGAATCTGAAATCTGTAAGTATTTGAAGAAACATGGATAGCTATGTGAACTAAAGAGATATGGAGTTGACAACATATCTGATAACTATATAGATACTATATGGCTTCCATCAATGTGGAACCTCTAAAAGAGCTGATGATATCAAGATACCATAATCATTATAAGCCATAGATGTTTCTTTCCTTCTTATATTTAAGTGTTTTTTTGTTTTTAACTTTAAGGTGCAGCGTTTGTTAAGTTTTCTCATGTCACTAAAGAATTGTCTGCTATGATGAAGAACTTGGTAAGGAACTTCTTGATCTCTCTTAGTTTAACCCCTTTTGCCCATCTTAAGATCTTTAAGACTGTAAGGATGTTAAAAATTTAAATAGCGACAAAAATCCTCCCTGTTTTAACCAATAAACTCTTCTGACACTGTGTCTTATTGATAGGAAAAGCTCAAGTATGGAAGGGTCTATTGAAGATTCAGGGATGTCCGATAGGTGACTGGCACATATCCTTGCTCTGGTTATTGACAAACCTTAAAAAAAAGCCAATTCCAACCAATTTGATAATTGACATTTTAATAGGAATGGAATAAGTTAGTACCATATAAAAGTGTCAATACGTCTTGGAATTTTTCACCAGGGGTTTCTCAGTCAATATTAACGATTGGCCATTTTGTAAGTGATTGCTGATGGTCAACGGTGGTATTATGGAAGACCGCACCCCACACGACTTAGTCTTGTACCAATATCTGTCTTACTTAACTTCAGAGAATTTTATATGATTTTTTACTATTAATGATATTTGACACACTGTGTGTATAGTATCAGCTGTTATTATTGATTTTTTAATATAACATAAACACAATACATGGCTCGTGAATCAAATAATTAAATAGTGATATTTGAATATATAAATAATTCGGTCAAATAATAAATAATGAAATTATTTCAGTTTAATCATTAAGAAGATTTCAGTAAGATAATTATTTTTGATAAAATAATGAAGATATTTATATATAAACATATTTCAGTTAAATATAAACATATTTCAGTTAAATATAAACATATTTCAGTTAAATATAAACATGTTACAGTTATATATAAACATGTTACTGTTAAATATAAACATATCAGTTAAATATAAACATATCAGTTAAAATATAAACAAAACAGTAGAAATATAGACATATCAGTTGAAATATTAACATATTTTAGTTAGAATAAAAACAAATCAGGTAAAAAATAAACATATCAGTTAATTCATAAACATATTTCTGTTAAATATAAACATGTCAGTTAAGATATAAACAAATTAGTTAAAAAATAAACAAAACAGCAGAAATATTAACATATTTCTGTTAAATATAAACATGTCAGTTTAAATATAAACATATTTCAAGTTAAATATAAACACATTTCAGTTAAATATAAACATATTTCAGTTAAATATAAACATATTTCAGTTAAATTCTAACTCAATTTAATTCAATTTAATGACAAATTTCTGATACTATTATGACAATGAAAACACAAGGATGCTTTGTGTCAGCTTTTACCTCTTGCAAGTGAAATGCATCACTAACAAGGAAACAAGAGAACACCATAGAAAAACTGTGAACAAAGGATTTTTATCTCGTGCACTCTTCAGGTGTTTGATAGATGATTGAATGTAACGTGATGCACTTCTATTCAACTTCCACACTAATCAATAATAAAATGTATCCTGACTGAATTATGGTGACTCATTCTCAGAATTCTTTCTTCATTTACAGTTATTGATTTTATCATTTTTTTTTCTTTGATGAATTTCATAATAAAAATCAATTAAAATAAAATATGCACTTATATGCATTTATAACTAAATGAAAATAATGGGATTTGTCTAAGTATATTTATTGACCAAATTTACAGTTTTTCAGCTATCTGTAGCCTTTTTTAGAATGAAAATCCAAGGACTAGTTTGTCTAAAATAATTGATAGTCTATGATATATATTAGTTTTATATTGGCTTATTGCTATCTGTAACAAACCCCTTTACACTTTTTAGACTGGCTCTTTCTTATCCATAACCCTCTTCATTTCAGATGCAGAGTCTAAACAATATTGTTCTGTATCCACTAGATGCTTTTCTGAAAGGAGATTTAAAAGGTGTTAAGGGAGATCTAAAGAAACCATTTGACAAGGCATGGAAAGACTATGAATCCAAATTGTAAGTCTCTTGAATAAAAATCTTAAAAAAAAAAGACAATTCTATTAATCAAAATCTCGTCCAAAGTATACCAAAATCAAAAGTTATTTAGCAGTGGACTCCTACAAAGAGAAGTGCCATCAGGTGTTTCGAAAGAGTAAGCACTAGCAATTTATTTGTCCAAACTTCAGAGCATTCTACCAAGATGGTATCTTTTGTTTTGTTTTTTTTTCAGCACTAAAATTGAGAAAGAGAAAAAACAGCAAGCCAAAGAAGCTGGCATGATTCGAACAGAAGTTTCTGGAGCTGAGGTTGGTACCTTTTTTTGATAACTTGGCCATGTGGAGTCTCCAGAATTTTGGAAGAAGTCTTGCAGCTTTCTTAAATCTTTATTGGCCTCTAAAGTAAACGTTTAAGCTCAGGTGAAGCTCAATACTTTGTCAAATTATAAGCTAACTCATTTAAGCTTATGTGATATGTTTTCAGATTGCTGATGAAATGGAAAAAGAAAGAAAAATGTTTCAGCTGCAAATGTGTGAGGTGAGTTACTCGCTTTGCATTTGTAAAAATATTCCAATTTCATTAAATGTTCACACCTTCCAGAATACAATCACTTTTGGGGAGTCCACATAGCTTAATAATGTCCTTTTGACATGTATATTTCAGTACCTGATTAAAGTAAATGAAATAAAGACTAAGAAAGGAGTGGATCTGTTGCAGTATTTAGTGGAATATTATCAGGCACAATCTAAGTAAGTATCACCTTTGCAAGAGCTGCTAAAATATATAAGGAATTCTGCAATATGATGTTTTAAAACGCTTAGTTTAAGTGGAATTGCAGGAACCACAGACGTCTGATTGGAATTGGAATTGTGTAAATTGATGCTATCATTGTCCCTGATACACATACAAAATTTAGAAAACCTCTTTACATTTCCTTTAATCCAACCTTTTGCGAAACTCTGTTCCATTTCGTTTCAGTTTTTTCCAAGATGGATTGAAGACTATTACTCATTTTCACAGTTTTGTTGAAGAGCTGGTTCATCAGCTTCATGAAATCAAAACAAGGCAAGATAAAGAACGGAAACAGCTGATAGAATTACGCGACTCACTTAAAAGCAATATGACAATTAAAGAGGTAGGAATATTTTGTTCGTTAACTGTGTTATACCTTGACTGCAATAACCATCTTTCTTTTATCTCAAAGGTTTGTAAGTGCAGCGATTTGGTTGGATTGTACATTAGCGAAAACAGCAAATGTGAGCCCTCGATAGAATATCTGTTAACAATAAACCTTAATGTGTCAATATTGATGATGAGCTAATTTTAACAAGCTATTATTATTGTCTAAAGCTGGGATGTGGAAATCTCCAATGAAGTGACATCAACTGTAATGCAGTGCAAAAATGGCCAATTTTCTAATTTTTCCTATATTTTTTTATCCAAAGCACGGACCTCATCGTCTCTCAGGAGGATGGGTAAATAAATTTAGTCTGTTGTCATGGAAACTATGTTTGATTATGTTTTTTATTGATATTATATAAAGGTGGCCTCACACCATAGCAATTACTCTGAACTCAGTTGCATGAGAATTGCATTCACAGATTTTTCTCTATCACAACTGGTGATTATTATGGTGTGAGGACCATTTAAGGTTGATTTTTTTTTATTTGTGCATTTTAGAAATTCACTTGAATGAACCCAATTTATTTTCACCCTTATTGAACCTCTTTAAATAGCTGTTTTGATTTGACTTTTGGTTGAAATTTTATGTGAATTCTGTCTTTTTCATTTGTCGTCTGTTGGAACATAGTCCGAAACACTCTGCCTTCGTTGACAAATGTCTACCAGCTAATTATTTTGGGGAGATAAGGATGCTATTTGCAAGAAGTTTATATTGATCCTTTGGCAGTGTTTTTTGGACTAGTTCTCGCAGGTGTTTCTGTCTTTTGCTCCAAATATTTTTGAACTCTCGTGGTTTCTGTTCTTTTTGATTTGAAGTAACTTTATTCATAAATATAAGGGAGGTTTGATTTTATATTTTGCCAGTGGCACATTGTAGGTTTTCTTTCTCTCAAAATATCTTATGAATATATGCAAGCACATTTCTAAGACAGGCACCTTTGTCATATGACTTATATACCTTATTAAATAATTATTATGCCTGCAAATGGTCCCCCTCAAAGGGCATTGGGTATTTGCAATTCCAAATGAATTCACAATATGATTTGTACGTTGCAAACTTAAATTGGCAAATTGAATCGCAGTAATCTCAAACAAAGTACAAGATTTGATAAGAGCTTCAGAATATTTCCTGTGTTATTTGGTGCTACTTCAAAAATTGAAATCCTATTATTTATCAAGTACATTATCGGTGTTTTGTAATGGATTTTCAATTCTGTTTCAGCCTACAGCAAACTCGGCGCCATCTGGCTACAGTCTCCATCAACTTCAAGGCAATAAGATTCACGGAAGCGAGAAAAATGGCTACCTGTTAAAAAAATCTGAAGGTCGTATGAGAAGAGTCTGGCAGAAACGGAAATGTGGTATAAATAATGGAATAATGTCAATCAGCCACCAGGATGTAAGTAAAGAGTTTAAAAATCTCATGTTTTCATTTTTGTTGGAAATAAAGTATCAAATATTCTATATTAACTATGTGGACTCTCTACAAGAGAGAAATTTAACCAGAGTCAAGAAGTTCCTATGAATCTCAACTTTTTATTAGTTCAAAATGGTGCTGAATCTATTTTATATTCCAGGAGAGTAAAGATCCTGTTAGATTAAATCTACTGACGTGCCAAGTTAAGGTAAAGATCCATTCTTTCTCTCCCCGTATTGCTGATAAAGGGGTACGCCAGATAGTATTTTTGCATTGAAAGGGAGCCCATCTTTAATTCTAGAGCTCATCAGAAGCTGTCGATGCATGTTGTGGATAGTAATGTGTTAAATTTGTACCACTTGATTTAAAGATGAATGAGCTGAGTGTGATTGTTTTGGGTTTTTTTTTCAGTTAATACATGACGACCCTGGAAAAAAATGTTTTGATTTGGTCTCATCTTCAAGTAAGTAAACTGCAAAATTTCATTTTTGGATTGGCTCATTCTGTACCAGTTTAATTGATTGTATCTGCATTGGAGCAGAAAATTTAGGATTTCTGTGCTTTCGTGAGTCAATAGAGTTTTGGCTTGGACAGTGCTTCCAAGAGTAAGGCCAGTAGTGACTCTATAATGAATTTCATAACTCTTTTTATTTGTAGATAACCGCACATATCACTTACAAGGTGATGACACAAGAGATATGGAAGAGTGAGTATTTATTGATTGATTGATTGATTGATTTTTTTATTTTATTTTTTTATTTTTTTATTTATTTTATTTATTTTTTATTTTATTTATTTATTTATTTATTTATTTATTTATTTATTTATTATGTATATTTTTATTAATTATTTATTCATTCATTCATTCATTCCAGATGGATATCAGTATTAAACAATGCTAAAGAAGATGTATTATTAAAGGCGTTCCAAGATTCTACCAACTCCCCTTCGATGAATCAAAGTGTTCGAGAATTAACTTCCAGTATTATAGATCGGGTCAAACGGTTGCCTGGCAACAGATTTTGCTGCGACTGTGGCTGTCCAGGTATGTCACTTTGATTCTTTGATTACGCAGAAATTGGTTGATGACTGCCAAAAAAAAAAAAGGTCTTCTTTACTAATTTGTGTTCATTCGATGGAAAACAATGCTCATTTTGCTTTATACTTTGTGTATTTGAGTGAATAAGAGTAAATAGTATAACCTATTATATATTCTTTTGACAGATCCTGAATGGTTATCAACAAACTTAGGTGTTATACTTTGTCTAGAGTGCTGTGGTATCCATCGAGAATTGGGTGTCCATATTTCACGAACCCAGAGTATTGTCATAGATGACTTGTGCACTTCACAATTACTGGTAAGGAGTGATGTTTGTTTTTTGGGTATATTTGGCCACCTTGGGGATTTTAATCTGCCTCTTTGACGATTTGATTCTACCACTTTTGGAAGTTAAATCTGTTAACCGAACTTTCTGTTTTGCTAAACTGTTTTGGTGTTTCATTTCAGTTATCGAGAGTGGTAGGAAATACATCCTTCAATGACATTATGGAAGCTACCCTAGATACTACAATCAAACCTAAATCTTCTAGTCCAATGTAAGTGTCATTCATCCATTTATTACTTCATTCATTCATTCTTTCTCTCATTCACATCTCTCGTGCATCCATTTATTCATCAATTTTTGTGTCATTTTAGGTCAGATAAGAGAGATTTTATTCGTGCGAAATATGAACAGCATAGATACGCCATTATAACATGTCCTGTTAAAGAGGAACTGAAACAGGACCTGAAACAGGCTATATTATCTAAAGATATCTTTGCTTTACTACAAGTCTATGCTGAAGGTTTGGATCTGATGACCACCTTACCTGATTCTGTAAGTAAACTTTCTATAAAATCTTTTTACTCTTATTCACAATGGCATATTTAGGGGGTACATTTTGAGCCATAGCCTCCCTTGTGTTGTAATTAATAAAAAAACTTATTCTACTTTCACTTTCCAAATCGCGATAGATGTATTCTCCAGCTTCTTACATTGGAAAATTTCCCCACCATGAATAGTCCCCTCTAATGTGACACTGGTGTGCTCCGACAGTCCCCTGGTTAGGCTACACTATATTATGTACTATGTGTATATTTGTAGCACGAGAATGAAACAGCGTTACATTTAGCAATAAAAGAAGAAGATGGAACTTCTTTACCTTTAGTTGATTTTATAGTTCAAAATAGCCCAATGTAAGTTTTAAATTATGATAGTCTGTATAAAATCCTTACAAGCAAGACAATTCCTAACCAAAAGGCCTGTCCAAGGTATGACAAAATCAGGAGCAATTATTGTATACTAGTGGACTCAACAGGTGTTTCAAAAAGAGTCTAGTTTACTATCTTTTGATGCTAGCTTGACACAATAAAAAATCCATACATGCAAGACAATTTCGTCAATCTAGAGGAAAAAAGTTTGTAGTGGACTCCTCCAAAGAGAAGTACCATCAGGTGTTTTGAAAAGAATAAGCATGGTCTGCTTACATTTCAATGTTCTCTATCTAAATGTCCTTTTCAGAGGTTCACTGGATAAAAGGAACGCAGATGGTGATTCCGCGTTGCATCTGTGCTCTCAGCTGAATCAAACAGAATGTATGAAATTATTACTTCGTACACGACCTGATTTAGCTAAAGTGGAAAATAAGAACGGAGAAACGCCATTAGATGTGGCCCAAGAACTGAATCATCAATTGTGTATAGAATTGGTAAGAGTATTAAACAATCAGGTCAATGCATGCATGCACGTGCAATTTGTAACTTGAATATTTTTGTTACACAGGAGAAATGCCCAGATATTCTTGCAGACTTCGTTCAAATCATGAATGAACATGCTACTTTTTGACAGTTACATCGGATTGTGGTTATTGATGAGCTGAAAGGATTATGTTTGTGTTTTTTTTTTTCAGATAAACGCTGCAACATCTGGTAAAAAGGATCTGTTTGCTCATGTAAACATAGATTGGGACCTGATCTCTGTAAGTATACTTTTGTTATATCAGAATTTCACAGAGACTAACAGCAGTGGGATTGTCATAGGCACGACTTGCAAGCGCTCCTTCTGCCAACTGTAAATCCTTTCCTTATAAGCTCTAGAATTAAGTCACAACTTTCAATGGTTGATTGATGTATGCTGTAAGTTTGTGTTCATTCTGTTGAAGATGTTTCTATTTTATTACAGGATGAGAGGATGTATGATTTTGGAGATTTTTCAGATGATGAACTGGATGTAAGTTCGTTTTTTTCTCAATTTTTTTTAATTTTAGTTCTTTTTTTTTTATTTATTTATTCATTACCATTGATTCATTCATTCTTCTTCATTTATTCATTCATTTTTTCCCAGGGTACACCAGATAAATCTAAACCAAGATCACGACCCCCTAGTTTAATAATGATACCAGAAGGCACGAGTCTCAGTGGGAAGGAGAGTAGTTATAGTGGTAGAGACAGGACAGATTCTGAGAGCAGCACCCGACTTCATCCTCCTGCACCACCACCAGCACAAAATAAACCAAAAAGTAAGCCCATAGCTCTGATTTGTTGTTGTACAATAGTGTTGTACCATTTGGCGTTGTACAATAGTGTTGTACCATTTGGCGTTGTACAATAGTGTTGTACCATTTGGCGTTGTACAATAGTGTTGTACCATTTGGCGTTGTACAATAGTGTTGTACCATTTGGCGTTGTACAATTGTGTTGTACCATTTGGCGTTGTACAATAGTGTTGTACCATTTGGCGTTGTACAATTGTGTTGTACCATTTGGCATTGTACAATAGTGTTGTACCATTTGGCTTTGTACAATTGTGTTGTACCATTTGGCGTTGTACAATAGTGTTGTACCATTTGGCATTGTACAATATTGTTGTACCAATTGGCTTTGTACATTAGTTGTTTTTTGTGACGAGCACTTAATGTTTTGTTGATATTTTGTTTGATGCTTATCAACTAAGTAATTTTGGGGTTTTTGCTTTTTGCTTTGAAGCATTGTTGCACCATCACATGCAATTTGTGGTATTGTTGCCTATCTTGGTCAAGTTTTGTTCATGTTAGAGCACCTAGGTACAGTCAAGGTAGTTTGAATTTGAGGGGTTCTGCTCGTATTTGAAATCTGACACTGAACTGTCCATTTTTGTAGAGTTCATAACCATCCCTAGTCAACACCGTAATAGCATTAATAATAATAATAATAATGTTATATACAAGTCAGGTAGGTGTAAGTCCTCATGCAGCATGATTTTGGCTTTCTGATGCATGATCGAGCTGCACATAGCATGATTTGGCTTTTGTGTCGCATGATTTGGCTTCCTGTTGTGCTCCACATTATTTTGTAGTATGATCTTTATAAGAAAGGGAATTGTATTATGATTTGACCTTTCTGTGCATGATTTTTCTCCTAGTGACATGATTTTGGATTCATGATCCTTAAGCAGCAACCATGTACCATGATTTTTTCGTTACATAGCATGATTTTAGCTTCCTGCTTCTTCATGTATGTTGATATTGGGGGTCATGCTCATTGATCTGGCTGATTGGCCTTGGGGTGACTTAAATATAGTGCAGCTCAGGCATGATCAGGATCTTTGCTTATCTCTCAAGACTTTTTTCCTGATAGTCCTTTACATCCTCTTGTTTCCCTTGGCTGAAACATTTCCCCCGACAGTTCTTTGGACATGCATGGAGAATAGAATCCACTTTGCTTTTCAAACTTTGGAATGAAATAATTTAAACTTTTCGACCCAATTTTCTTTGTTTTGATGCTGAAGATGCAGTGTGCAATTTTCACAATTCGTTCAAGTGTTGGTCAAAGGATCAATTAATTTTGTGGATGTAGACTTAAAGGATACAGAGTTTCTAATTAAAACTTAACTAACCATGATGTGTTTATTTATGATTGTGAACACTCTGCATTTTTTTATGATAGTGAACTCATATTTTTCTCTTTCCTTTCCAGTACCAGGTCTAAATGCTCCAAGTTCTTCAACTCAAAGTCTATCTAATGGAAGTAACAATTCCAGTAGTTCCCAGACTTCAAATGGACCAGACCCATCACAGCGTAGTAGTAAATGTCTTCCTCCCTTGCCCCCCAGGAACAAGAAGCCCCCACCCCCTCCTCCACCCACCAGCTCTAGTGTTCATGGTCACAGTCGGAATCGGTCCGAACCAAATGCTTCCTACTTGATCCACAAGAGAACGTGTTCAGATCCACCACCCAGACCAGTTCCTCCTGACTTCAGAAATACCATCAACATCCCTCAAGGTGGTGTCGCCGTTTTGCCAACTTTACCACATAGTGATTCAAGGTGAGACTTCTTCCAAAGATTTAAAATGAGTTTTTCTAGCCTTTGTTTGTATATCGGCGACACTTGCAGATTCTATTTATACTATTCTGACTTGGTAGTCTTTGTATATGTATCAGGGACACTTGTAGCTTCTCTTTAGACCATTAAGATTCACATTTATCCAATGTCTGGTTTATTTTCAGTGACAAGCCACCATCAAACCCAAGGTACTCAAGAGGCACCTCACTTATAGAAGGTAAGTCTTTAGCTCATTCCATAATATAAATTTGAAAGTGTGCACAAAGGCCTTAAGGATCTACCAGCTGGTCCATTTTCAGGTGACTGGAATGACGAGGATCCTTTCTACCAGCTGGTCCATTTACAGCTGGGTTGACTGGAATGACGAGGATCCTTTCTACCAGCTGGTCAATTTACAGCTGGGCTGACTGGAATACTGAGGATCTTTTCTACCAGCTGGTCAATTTACAGCTGGGTTGACTTGAATAACGAGGAACCTGTCCACTAGCTGTGCAATGATCTTTTGTCCATAGGAAGATCTATCATATGATGAAGGAGTAGTGATGTCATCAAACCATGATTTTGTTTTTCAGATGATAGAAGACATGATAAAGAACAGCAGGTTCGAGATAGAAGTAAATCAATTGATAGGTTTGATTCCACAGAGATGCCTCCACCAGTACCGGTTCCTAGAGCTAAGGTATGGGACTATAGTCACCTAAATATGCTAATAGACTCTTTTAATGGACTAAATGATGTATCATGTTGATTGGAAATATGCATGTGCATGGAAGAGTTCAATAATGATTTGAGGGGTGTCAAAGCAAGTAGCACACTAGGTATAACATGGATAGCTGTGGTTCTGTTCCTTTTCCAGAGGCATTAAGTTCAGAGGGGTCTCAAGATCATGGTCCTTGGCTGTTTTCTCTATTTATAGAAACATCAGTTGCTTTACTATGGTCGTTTTATAGTATTTCTTTTTTGCACATTTGAACTTGTCTCTTTCAGAGGAAGACACCTATAGGACAGCGTTGTCGAGCTCTCTATGACTGTGAGGCGGATAATGAGGATGAATTGTCATTTAAAGAAGGGGAGATAATCGTTATTTTACGAGAGGAAGAAGAGGAGTGGTGGGTAAGTGTCAATCAAATCTTTAACTTACTTTAACTAACTTATCTTTCATTACAGAGATTGTAAAGGGTCTTTCTAAACTATTGTGTATCTGGGACACTGAAAGCATCAATTTGCACCATTCCAATTTACAGTCAGATGTCTGTCTGTTCTTGTAATTATAGAAATGTTTAAAAGTTTTTGTGGTGAGGCCTTTATGTTTGGAAAGATGTCCTAGATTTTTAGTAATATCAAATCATAATTTTTCAGGAAGGGGAGATAGAAAAGGAACCATTCAGAAGAGGACTGTTTCCTGTCAGTTTTGTCAAGATTTGTCCTGGATGATGAAGAATAGACCTTAGTATTATGCATTTAAAGTCACTATGGGCCATATTTACTTTTACCATTTAACCATGTGTTTAAAATATTGTATTATATAGAGGACCTAGTCCCAAATCACTCTACTGTTTAAAAGTCCCACTATAGCTTAATATATATATCAATGCTTTCCTTTCTTTTTTTGTGTCTTGGTTTATCAGACACAGTGTCAATATTCATGCATTCACCAAGTGATTATTTATGTAGCAATCAAGTGATTATTCGATCAGTATTCAAGTGATTATCCATTCAATAATCTAGTGCTAATTCATGCAGAAATTTGGTGATTATTCATGCAGTAATTGAATGATTATTCATGCAGTAATCAAGTGATTATTTATGCAGCAATCGAGTGATTATTCATGCAGTAATTACATAAATAAGATGATTATTCATAATTAATATAAGTGATTGTTCATAATTAATATAAGTGATTATTCACACATTTATAAAGTGATTATTCATGCATTCACCAAGTGATTATTCATGCAGTAATATGTCATATGACAAGTGATTATTCATGCATTCACCAAGTGATTATTCATGCAGTAATCAAATGATTATTCATGCAGTTTTCAAGTGATTATTCATGCAGTAATCAAGTGATTATTCATGCAGTAATCAAGTGATTATTCATGCAGTAATCAAGTGATTATTCATGCAGTTATGAAATGTAAATTCTGTTCAAAGAAGGCAACTATTAGAGTAATTATAGATGATGTAAATTGTAGTTAAAGTTGTAAATTATTTACCTTGAAAAAATGAGTAGATTCTTTATATCTTTATAGTCTTATTGTACAATAGTATAATATTTTCACTGTTAAAATAGTGCTCAATAAATCAATGTAGAGGGGTATAGAAATATTAAAACTGAACCTGTTGTTGCTCAGAGTTTCATACTGTGTGATCTTCAGACAATATGTTTTAGGTTCTGTTTTGATATTTCTGGTCCCATTGTACATAGTAATAGTCATTTCATTGCAATTATATACTTATATATTGTACATATTATAGTTGGTAGTAATAATTAAAATAAGCTTTAGTAAGAGGGTATAGTCTTCTAATTTTGACCAAAAAAAATGGATGCACATGTGTACTTGTCCTTAGCCTAGTACTAGCTATTTAAAGGGAATTTTTTAGATTTTAATTCATAATAGAAAGATATGAGAAGAATTAAGGATTCCTCTGCAAATGCTCCAGATCTTCTAAGTGCTGTTCTTCTGAAGAAGGTTTGAATAAGTTCATGCCATGTTAACAAACAATGTTCTTGCCTAAAGTGATTGAGACCAATGGCTCTATGCCTCAGTGCTTATACCTTGCTGCTTATCTTAGAATTTGCTTGGTTAGATGAGAAATAAGTGCTTTGCTTATCTTAGAACTTGCTTGGTAAGATGAAATATAAGTGCTTTGCTTTACTTAGAAATTGCTTGGTTAGATGAAATATAAGTGCTTTGCTTATCTTAGAACTTGCTTGGTTAGATGAAATATAAGTGCTTTGCTTATCTTAGAAATTGCTTGGTTAGATGAAATATAAGTGCTTTGCTTATCTTAGAAATCGCTTGGTTAGATGAGATATAAGTGCTTTGCTTTACTTAGAATTTGCTGCTATAGAAAAGATTTAATTGCTATGCTTAAGTAAGCAATTGAGGTAGGATAAATAAGTGCTTTGCTTATCTTCAAACTTACTGATTTAAAAAAGATTTAAGTGCGTTGCTTATGCTGCTTAGGTATGTAAGTGATTGACAGCTTTAGCTATTTAATAAAATATTATATAAAAGATATTGAATTAACCTTTAGTTTATTGTAGATATTGGACTACTTATATATGACGTCATTTCACTATATATAATTAACACTTTATACATATTATTAAATGTTTATTAAATTTAAATGGTGGTTGTTTGTTTGCTTGGACTGTTGTGCCCACTTATAAATCTCTAACAATCAATTGTGTACATGGTACGATTGTTGAAGAGAGTGTATGAATAGCGATGGTTGGTTTCTGCAGAACTATACAGGCTATTCAGGCGGCAGGCTGCAATGCCACCCCCTAAAGTGACCAATTCCATTACTGCAACTATACACTACATACAATTATTGCCCTCCTTATATCAATCTGGCAGTCAATAAAATTAAAAAAGGCACGCTAGCACAGGGACGCACGCAAGCCTCATATTTCTGTATTATGTTCGGTCTTTTTTTGTCGTGGGCGGGGTTGTTTTTCTGTATATGTATTATTTCAGTGTGTGTGTATTTTGTTATTTTATTAATTAATATAAATTCTTACCTTTTACATTCTTTTCTGTGGAGTTGAACTCGGGTCGCAACATTCAAAGTTTACCGCTCGTTGAACTGTACGGACTCGTTATCGGTTGAGCCATCGCAGTTGGCTGAGATGATTGGTAATTTTAACCTCTTTGTAGTATATACTAAGAAAGCGACTGGATGATGTGCCGGTTTATAAGGACTGGGTATTAGGATCATGCATCATGTGACATGACCACGTGACAAGTACCGTTATTTCAGCTATGATTTGCCTGAAAACTAGTCACTGCCAGGGTACAGATCTTCTACTGAACAGTGTTTGCTCAGTCCGTCGTGGCTAAGTCGATAGCGAGTCAATCTAGAAAGATATAGGATGTGGGTTCGATTCCTACGACGGGCAGAATGATTTTTATCAAATTATTATCATTGCTGATCCACCGAATATATCAGTTAAAAGTTTGGACGTCGATATGGACTTGCTGGTCTAGTGGTACAGGCGACCTGCCTGGTACTGGAAGGTTGAAGGTTCGATTCCCGTCGAAAGAATGGGGTATCTTTTGACAATTTTCAAACTTCCTGATCGTCTATATATGCATGTTAAATCCCTATTGCAGCGTCGAGTCTCAGTGGCTCGATCGGTTAGAGGGTTGGTAGAAAGAGAGATCGAAGGTTCGATTCCCACCATTACCCGTTGCAATCAATTTTATTAAACTGTATACAGCAGATACGAATGATATATATTATTTCCTCCACGTTTGACATGACCACGGTGGTCTAGTGGTAGAGGCGATGGTTTGAGACATCTAAATAGTTGACGCGGGTTCGGATCCCGAAGAGAGTAACTGTGATATTTTGACAATTTGTACCTTAAGGTTATCTTTAAAAAGGTTAAAAATTCATGGTTTGCTAACGGGTCTCTATGGCCTAGATGGATGGATGGTGGACTTGGGCTAGAACTCTGTTTCGACGGCGAGGGTTCGAGCCCAGGTAAATCTCCAGAGGCTTTTAGCCACTGTCTCATGTTCTCTCTCTCATTCTAATATGAGAGACCTGAGTTCTCTAGAGGTAAGATGTCAGTTGACACGTTGGGCCTGCCGCAGGCAAGACACTACCAATAGATAGAACGAGGGGCAAAGCTGAAGAACGAGAGACAAGGAGGGGAGCCGAGGGGCAAACTGGTGCCCGGGTCCCTCCAAGATTCTAAAAGGAGAGAGGAAGATACTTACTATTTTACTACTATAGTAGGCTGTGACTTTGAACTTTAAATATTACTTACGAACATCTGTTTAAATCCCACCTATTTTGGCCGTGGTCGTAGAGTTGTTCATCCCTCCCTACATTTTTCTATCGTTCAAACGTCCCGGGTTCGATTCCCACTCAAACCCAACTTTCGGTTTTAAAGTATTTTTGACGTCCAAAGCAGATTCTAGTGGTTTTGAGTGCCCACTATGGAAAATCTTTCACAACTAGATTTCCCCGTGGGGTTCGAACCCACCTAAGTTTCTAGAGGATGTTAGTCCTTACTATGGATGACGTTATTGCAACCGTGTTCTCCCGACGCTCTACCACTGAGCCATCCAGTCGAACACAATCTTTGAATTTTTATCCATTATAACTGTAACCTCAAGTTTTAAATAGTATAAAATTAGTTATATTAATCGAGAGTCTTGACCACCAAAGGATTCTAACCCTCAGCTCCTGATTGTCAGACCAACGCTCTACCACTGAGCTATCCAGTCAGACAATTTAGTGAATTATTTATCAAATATAACCGTAACCTCGTGTCTTAATAGAAGAAAAATCCAACCGGCCATCAGTGGGTATTGAACTAGCATAGTTTCCCTTCCAGCGCAATTTTCATCCACCATAGCCACTTGGCCACCACGACCGCTGCTTTGACATGAAATTAAGTCTATATATACTTTATAAATTCTATAAAAATCTGAAAGACTATAACTGGGACCGAACCCTCGACCTGTACGTCGCATGTCATAAAACACAGACCACTTGGACCACTCATCCACAATATTATCATGACATTTTGTATATCAGAGTCCTATTCCTAAACGCTTTTGTGAATTTATTTCAGATCATTATGCTTTATATTCAATATATCTCATCCAGAGCCTCTCTCCAAGGAGAATGGGATTTTTACTGTTGAAAGCCGACCCAATTTTAATTTTGTTTTGTGTTGGTTGTCTTCATGGACCTGTAGACGATGTGGTTTAATAAATAAAGTTCTTCTACAGATCACAAGAATTCAATTCTCACTCCGGGATTCGAACCCACAACTTTAATATAGACATGAGAGATCAACAGTTTAACCTACTGAGCGACCGCGAAAAGCGCGTGCATAGTGTTCATCAGTCGACCTAGCCCGAGTAGACTCTGATATCCAGAATCTTGGAACAACCAGTCCGCATTTTATAGTCTCTTCTTCTATAAAATCAAACCATATAATCTTTAAGTCGACAGGCAGTATTCAGTCAAGTGCGATGGCTCAATCGATAAACGCGTTCGTCCGCCATCGTCGTCTAACTCTGTGAGTTCAAGTCTACAAGGTATGAAGAAAATTTAAAGGCAAGTGTGTAATATTATTCATATTGTATTTGTAATAAATTTCCCATATACTATGCACACGCCAATCTTCAAAACAATTAATAAAATCCTACATATATAAATCAATATAGTTACCATGTCCACATATCGTAACATTAAATATTTTGTTGTCTGAAATGATTTGATTAAATGCAGTTACCCCCCTCAGACCATAGTTTTAAGGTATTTTTCGTAGAATTTTGTCCCCCATCTGATCAATATGTCGAGTATATGATTCAACCAAGCATGCAATATTACTATATTTAACCACATGTCTTTTGTTCATGTAACTATACTAAAACACAGCTATTCCAATGGCTTTTATACAGTTTTGGATATAAGGGATGCTGTAACACACTAAGTTTTAGTGATTATCATTTTACGTATGTAAAGAATTGCTATTGAGCCCGAATTACAATTCAGTGACACTTTGTAGCTTTCTAGCTCTGGGGTCTGTATTTTGCTTTGGCTAAGAGGAACCTTAGTGCTACCCCTTATGGCTGTGTCTGTCCTTTCTGGGTGCCTCAACAAAGTAATATGTGGGTTTCGTATCTTGGGAGCTTTTGCACAAACACAACACACATAACAATATTCATTCTTTAATCTAAAGACAGACTGATATTTTAAAACAACAGATTACATTTATTAACTCAAAAAAAAAACTTGTTTCTCTCTATGGACAATAAATTTTCCAATAAATCGTAAAGGAACACTGCCAATCGATAGATATATGTATGGATACGTGTCCATATCAATAAATTTTCCACTAGAAGGCGCATGTTGTCCTTTGACTGATGTGGGTGGTTCTCTTGTCCTCGAATCTTCCTCAGTTTAAATGTTGCACTACAAACAACTAAACCAAAGTTCCGCTACCCCATACTTCTAACATCAAAATGGCAAATTTCAGCTATTCGCTGCATTTCAGCCCAAGACAACTGTCTGATCTTTTGGGATTCTGGTCCCTGATGATGTGTAAGCTCTTCATTCGCTAACAAACGAAGTTATAAAGCTTGCATTTGCGTTTTAAATCAGAAATTTGATAAATTCGTGACAAAGTCAGCCATTTTGTTTGTTTACATCTAGTCTTGATTATCAAAACTTCAGATTTCATAAGTACAAGTGTCTGGACAAGCATGTATTTGGAGTCTGCTTTTTCCTACCTTTCAAAACTGACCACGCCCACGTGTTTCGTTACTTAACCCGTCATTCAAAGCCAAATTTGTATTTCCAAGGGGTCCATGGCGTTGATTATTGCTTGATTTGTTGTGTTAGAGTCCCTAAAAGACAAGGAAATAAAAAATATGGTCAAAAATATCGAAGCAAACACGCTATTCCCAAATCAAAACACACCAGCGCTACTGTGTATTTATTAGCGTTATCCGAGCAAATCAACAGTGATCAAAACATGGTCTAAGGGAGAAAACTCCATATAACAAAGTCAAATTTGTCGGTAGTAAAAAGGCGCACCAGGTAGTCTTGGTTGTCAAACAAAGGAAATTATCGCAGTATTCTAACACGTGACTTCCGGTGTAAACAAAATGGCTGACCTTGTCACGAATTTTTCAAATTTTTGAATTTAAACGCAAATACCAGCGTTATTACTTTGTTTGAGAGTGAATGTAGTGATTAAGCATCACCAGAGACCAGAATTCCAAAAAATCAGACAGTTGTCATGAGCTAAATTGTAGCGAATAGCTGGCATTTGCCATTTTAGTGTTAGAATTATGCAGTAGTGGAACTTTGTTTTAGTTGTTTACACTGCAACATTTCATCTGACGAAGATTCGAGGTCAAGATAACTATCCATGTCGCCACGTGAGAAATGGATGAAGATTCAGTTGCAGTCAAAGGACAATATGCACCGTTTATTGGAAAATTTATTGTTTATGGACAGAAAGTGTTCTTTTTTTGTGTGAATAAATGTAATCTGTAGTTTTTAAATATCAGTTTGACTTTGGATTAAAGAATAATTATTGTAATGAGTGTTTTGTTTGTGCAAAAGCTTCCAAGATATGAAGCTGGCCATGCCTTGACTGCCCCCTTTAAGCATGTTTGTCTGATCATTTTTCACACAGAAAGAATTGTCTGAGCCCTCTTTGACAATTCTGTGGCAACTACCTGGCACCCCAACCCTAGGATACATAGAAACCCACATATTACTATGTTGAGGCGCTCCGAAAGGACAGATACAGCCATAGGGGGTAGCAGAAAAGTTCCTGAAGGAAATCGCATACCCTTTCTGTCTTCCTAGCTCGCCACAGCAATATGTAAACTCCAGAGCTTAAAAGTAGCACTCTATAAAGTGTTATTATAAACAAAGCAAATCAGACAAAAGAGTTAAAATTGTAACACAATTTTATTCATTACATTACAATTACAGATTTAGATTCAGTTGTATCTGTTGGTATAGTTCTAGTAATATCAGAATCACCTGAAAAAGATTTGAATAAATGTAAGTATCAAGAAAAGTAAAACACAAACTCCTTGGAAATATGAAGCACAAAAGGCACATTCTGGTACCAAAAGGTTACTTAAATAAGAACTTAACATTCTACTACCCATTAATTCTAACATTAAAATGGCAAATTTCAGCTATTGACTACAATTCGTCTCATGACAACAGCCTGATCTTTTGGAATTCTAGTCCCTGGTGATTGGTAAGCCCTTTATTCGCTCTCAAACGAAGGTATAAAGCTTGCATTTGCGTTTTAAATCAGAAATTTGATTAATCCCTGACAAAGTCAGCCATTTTGTTTGTTTACATCTAGTCTTGATTATCAAAACCTCAGATTTCATAAGTACAAGTGTCTGGAAAATCGTATATTTGGAGTCTGCTTTTTCGTACCATTCAAAACTGACCACGCCCACATTTTTCGTTACTTAACCCGTCATTCAAAGCAAAATTTGTATTTCTGAGTGGTCCAGGCCGTTGATTATTGCTTGATTCGCTGTGTTAGAAACCCTAAAAGACAAGAAAATAAAAAATATAGTCAAACGCATCGAAGCAAGCACGCTATTCCCAAATCAAAACACACCAGCGCAACTGTGTATTTATTAGCGTTATCCGGGCAAATGAACAGTGATCAAAACATGGTCTAAGGGAGAAAACTCCATATAACAAAGTCAAATTTGTCGGTTGTTAAAAGACGCAATGGGTAGACTTGGTTGTCAAACAAAAGAAAATAATCACAATATTCAAAAACTGCAGAAATAATTTTTTTTTGCCTTTTGCATGGAAGCTTAAAATTATTTCATTGTTTCAATTTGCATTACAATGTATCTGGAATATCCTGTCCAAAAATCATACAAATATATTCATTCATTAGCCAGTGAGAACCATTTTACTTTTATACTCAATTTCTCAAAATGGCTCTATAAGCATTATACAATATTATGACGCGTAAAATTCTAAATCAACTATAACTTTCTTACTTCTCTTCATAAATCAATTTGGTAAAAAGTTTTAGGTTTCTCAGTCTAACAAAAACCTGAAAAACAGAAAAAATTCAGAATAAACAAATTTGTTACCTGACTAAAGTTGAAAATACAATGTAAATAGCTTGAAGTATATTCGTACAAATAAACACTGCAGAAATAATTTTTTTTTGACGTCTGCATGGAAGATTAAAATTATTTCATTGTTTCAATTTGCATTACAATGTATCTGGAATATCCTGTCCAAAAATCATACAAATATATTCATTCATTAGCCAGTGAGAATCATTTTACTTTTATACTCAATTTCTCAAAATGGCTCTATAAGCAATATACAATATTATGACGCGTAAAATTCTAAATCAACTATAACTTTCTTACTTCTCTTCATAAATCAATTTGGTAAAAAGTTTTAGGTTTCTCAGTCTAACAAAAACCTGAAAAACAGAAAAAATTCAGAATAAACAAATTTGTTACCTGACTAAAATTGAAAATACAATGTAAATAGCTTGAAGTATATTCGTACAAATAAACACTGCAGAAATAATTTTTTTTTGACGTCTGCATGGAAGCTTAAAATTATTTCATTGTTTCAATTTGCATTACAATGTATCTGGAATATCCTGTCCGAAAATCATACCAATATATTCATTCATTAGCCAGTGAGAACCATTTTACTTTTATACTCAATTTCTCAAAATGGCTATATAAGCAATATACCATATTATGACGCGTAAAATTCTAAATCAACTATAACTTTCTTACTTCTCTTCATAAATCAATTT